ATAATAGAGCTGCTTGTAAAACACACCAGAAGAAGAGTCCGAATTGTTACCAGCACAGCATCACAGCACATTATAACACGCCGCACAAGCAAACCATCATCTCAACTGACTAACTCACTCTTTAACAACTGACGAGCCGCTGTGACCGCTGATTGCCAAGGTCCTGTATAAAAGTTTATCGAAGACATCATAGTGCAACCCTCCTGCTCCCAACAATTTCAGTTTGAAATTATTCGCCATGTCGGAATCCGCTGAAGGAAACGATGAATACTCTCATGCCAGAAAACTAGTTCTGCGAGCTGCCAAGAGAGAAGCTGCTTTGAGCAAGGCTGATGCGCCGGTTCCTGACGGAATGGGTAGTAGCATCGGTGCTGACTTTTCCAACATGACTCTTAAGCCTGATCACATTCAGCGGCCCTGTTGGGCGTGTCCGGATGGCAATATCTACTTGGAAGCATTTCACGACTTGTATACCCAAGCATACGATTTCTTGGTTGCCATCTCTGAGCCTGTGGCAAGACCAGAGTTCATACACCAATATAAGCTTACACCTTACTCCTTATATGCGGCTGTTGCCACCAACATTGAAACAGAATCAATTATAGGGGTTTTGGAGCGACTGTCCAAGAATGCACTGCCACCACAAGTGAAAAAGTTTGTCCGCGATTGTACATCCAAATACGGAAAGGCTAAGCTTGTGTTGAAACACAACAAGTTTTATGTGGAGTCAGAGTTCCCTGAAGTGCTGCGAGAATTGTTGCGAGACCCTACGATTGCCCAAGCCAGAATCCAAGAAGACGTGGAAAATGTCGATGACCACGGTTTCTTGACCAACACCAAACAGGAAGAAATGAAGGAGAACTTGCAAATGCTGCGAGAGCCAGACGATGACTCAGACGATGAAATGGAACAGAATGACAAGAGTAAGAAACCGACGGTAGTGGTATCGTTTCAAGTGGACGGAAGTAAAGTTGAGAATGTGAAGCGACAAGCAATCGAGCTTGATTATCCGCTGATGGAAGAATACGACTTTCGCAATGATGTGAGTAGGCTTATTGGGACTCGAATTGTTTTGTTTGGACCATGAACTCACTCTAACATCAATCTTCATTACCATTTAGAATATCAACCCGAATGTGCCGCTGATGGATTTGAAGCCAATTACCAGAATTCGACGGTATCAGGAGCGATCGCTGGCCAAGATGTTTGGAAATGGAAGAGCTCGCTCCGGAATCATCGTACTACCTTGTGGTGCTGGAAAAACATTGACAGGTGTCACAGCGGCTCAAACCATCAAAAAGTCTTGTGTCTGTCTTGCGACCAACGCTGTGTCCGTTTTGCAGTGGAAGCATCAATTCCAAAAGTGGACCAACATTCCAGATGACAGAATATGTGTCTTTACTAGTGACCAAAAGGATAAAATACACCCGGAAGCATGCGTACTGGTCACAACTTACACGATGATTTCATACTCTGGCAAACGGTCTGAGCAATCCCAGAAAATCATGGACCAAATTACTGGCAAAGAGTGGGGCTTGTTGCTGATGGACGAAGTGCATGTGGTGCCTGCAAAGATGTTTCGCCGTGTGATTGGAAGTGTCAAGGCCCACTGTCGTCTAGGACTGACGGCGACATTGGTCCGAGAAGATGATTTGATTTCTGATTTGAACTTTTTGATCGGGCCCAAGCTGTACGAGGCTAATTGGATGGATCTTACAGCTCAGGGGTATCTTGCGAATGTGCAATGTGTGGAAGTTTGGTGCCCAATGACTGGGCCATTCATGAAGGAATACCTAATGGCGACTAACGCAAGGCTGAAGCAGCTGTTGTACGTCATGAACCCGTCCAAGCTTCGTGCTGTCGAGTACCTGGTTCGCTTCCATGAGGAACGCGGTGATAAGATCATTGTCTTCTCTGACCTGGTCTACTCCCTCAAGTTATATGCTGAGATGTTGAAGAAACCTTTGATCTATGGCGAAACCCCAGAACGCGAACGTCAAGCTATTCTTGGTACCTTCCGTGCTTCTGATATGATTCGCACAATCTGTATTTCGAAGGTCGGAGATACATCCATCGATCTGCCCGAAGCTAATGTCATTATCCAAGTGTCCAGTCACTTTGGAAGCCGAAGGCAAGAGGCGCAACGCTTGGGCCGCATTCTTCGTCCAAAGTCGTACACGCGACAAGATGGAACGAATAAGTCTACCTTCAACGCGTTCTTCTACACTCTCGTCAGTTCCGACACTCAAGAAATGTTTTACTCCGCTAAGCGTCAACAGTATTTGATTGATCAAGGCTACACATTCAAGATTGTGACAAACCTTTGCGAAAAGGCTGCCGAAGCAGCAGTGGAAGAGGGCTACTCTTACAGCACACCCGAAGACGACCGCAAGTTATTGCGCACCGTCTTGCAATCCGAGACAGACTTGGAGAAGGAGCAACGCGCCGAAGATGCTGCCATTCGCAAGAACAATGCCGATGGAGCTGCCCTTGCAGACGCTGGAACCAAGCGAAGTACAGGAGCGACCATATCTCAAATGAGTGGTGGATCCGGTATGCGTTACCGAGAAGTCAATTCGAGCAAGAAGCATCCACTATTCCGAAAGAGACAAAGACGCTAAGAGATTTAATATTTTATCAATTGACCTAGAGTTCAAAAACAGTAACAGTTTCACCACACCAATGGTGCACTCCTCTTGAATGCTAAAAATACAAGCAAGCCTCAGAGCACAACCAACATCGCCAATAGACAAATCACGTTATCTGGTACGGGGTTGATGGAGACTCTGGATCTTCCTTGTTGGTTGAGGCTGGCTCCGAGACCATGTTAGATGCATTCTCTGATCCCAGGGCATGTAGAAACTCCCCTAGATCTCCTGCTTGTAATATGTCCTTTCGTACTTCATGTAGTAGGCGCAACATGGTCACCAAATATACCAAGATTCCCGCATTGGATGCCAGTGGAAACCAATCTGGACCTGGAAATTGTCCAATGAACATAATTATTGATCCAACCAAAGTGTAAATCCATGGATTTATGCTGGATGGGTACACAATCATGGAAAATTCACTTCCATACCTCCACAGAAGCGCGGAAAAGTAGAGACAACTCAAGGATGTCATTCCCATTGGAAGAAGACTGTAGACGACATGCGCTGAGGAATCTTCTTGCCACGGTTCTGTAAGAATGGTCATCCATCCCGTACGGCCAGCCAAATCTGGTTTATCCCAAACTACGTCAAAGTTGACCCCAAAACTCAACATGAGAATTGCCACTGTAAAGACTCTCATCATGACCACCATGGTTGCTGGTCGAATCAATGTCTGTCGATCTTCATCATCTGGTGTGGTGGACCTGGAATTGGTTGATCGCCCTGGCCCTCGGTACACCATACAAAAGGGTATGGAGCGTGTTCGATAGGACAAAAAGGTAGCCACAAAGGTTGCCATGAATATTCCTGGCGCACACATGCTTTCAAACATGTAAATGGCGACGGCCCACTGCCGCCAAATGTTAATGTGCGCATAGTCCATTGCCAGAGTCATTGATTCCAAGCCCATGAAAAACATGGCTGCTGGCAGAATTAGTCGAATAGCATTCCATTCGTATAATTCTCGCGTCTCTCTTGAAAGGCGATTGGTCAAGTAGCAGGTGACGAAAAAAGCGAGCGCAATGACTCCAAAACCAACGATTTGTTCCACTTGGTAGACTTCCGTGTCTTTTTTGTAGAAATCATCGTCGCCAATAAAGGTTAATTCACGATGAGTTGAGAGCATAAAAGAATCACTAGACATGGTGGGTGATGCCATGCTGATGGTACGAGTTCTTTCGGGAAAGAAGAGAGGTTTGTTGGGTGTTGCAATTGGAAGGTTTTGAGTCGATGTTTGAAAATTCGGAAGTTCATATTCAGCCTGCCTGCTCATTATCGTTTGACTAATACGAAAAAAAAGACTGAACTGAATGGTAGTCCTACAGTAGAATGAGAATGAGAAGAAGCTACAGTATGGATAATTTGGTTACCAAACACAACTTTGCAATAATTCCCTTGTTCAGTCTCTTTCTAATGTTTTTTCTAACTTTCATCGTCAATCACGTCAATCAAGGACCCGCTGCATCATCGTCGTCGTCCGAACGAGAATGATCATCGGTCTGGTCCATCGAATAAATTAAATCCCATTCGCTCGAACCTTTGTGACAGCCCCACACATCTTTATCATCAAACCAATAGTCCACAGTTCCCAACGTCTTTACATTGCCGTGTGTTTTTTCACCACAACTAGTTTCACATTTGTTCGACGAGGTGCAACTCTTTGCTGTATTGTGGCCTTCGTAATATAGCATTATATTCACTGCAGTTAAGGCAATCAGTACCAACACAACCACTACACACAAGCTGCTCCTTGGCCTTTCTATTTGTGGGCGATTCAAGTCCTCGTTATCAAGGACGTTTTCTTCTGCTACTAGTAGTAGGTTTTCGTCATGTACGTCGGCTATAATGCGTCGCCCCTCTTTCTTCATGTTCTTATTTATTCTGTTTCCTGATGAGTACAAACTAAGGCTACTACAGTAGTCGCTCCTGCTCCTGTCATCAGTTGCTCTGACTAGAGATGGACTTGTTGGTGTGTTTCGTCGTTGCCTTATGATAGTCGATACTGATATTTTATGTAGACTGTAGCATACTGGTATGGCAGCTACAGTACCTCTAGTAGTTACTAGGCGCCGCGCGTTGATTTCCATTCCAGAGCGTCCACTTTTTTGTGGTCGGTTCTTCATTGCCTTCCCCAAACCCTCTCTCCCCCAACCCTCTCTCTCAAACTGATCCTTGTGATTGTAAAAATTTGAACGTGTCAAGATATCGCTCTGTTGCATTTTGACACTTGGAGTGCTACGAAAGTGCTAAAGTGTGCCACGGGTTGATTTTTCTACCCAAACCCCCCCTCCAAGGTTCTTTCGGGACTGGTTCGGGACTGGGTGGTAGTGACGAAAAAGTGACACGTCGCAAGTCACAAGTCGTGTTCTTCGTGTCTCAAACGATTGCGACTCCAAATATCCGGGTTGACGACGTACATTCCACGTGCACGCATGCCACCGACATTCGTCGGATCATTGATGTTATTCTACCAAATTCCAAACACAAGCACACACAACAATAGAAAAACAAAAGAGGAAGAAACTCACAAATCAAACTGTCATAAGATTTCCACGCAAAGAAAGATGACGAAGACCGAGAAGACAATGCCAGGTATAAAAGAAAAACCGCTTTCAGATTGTTCTGAAGCACCTGACAATGATGATCAAGTTCAAGAGACAATCCCACAGGAAAGTGTCAATCTAAACCGAAGTATGGAAGAAGAGAATGACCTAAACAAGACCGCAAATGATACAGTCAATGATAATGACGAGATTTCACTTTTAACAGGGCTTGATCCGCCTTCCACCTGTCTTGATGGTCCCGCTGAAATCATGTCGTCAAATAAGATTGAGGAGACGACGGAGAATGGCGGGAAGAAGCTAAACAGGATGAATATCGACAAAATGCTATTGACACAAGGATCGAGAATATCCGATCTTGGCGCAGCTGATGTCTCTGTGATGTCAATGGACCCTGAGGGGGTATGTCCTGGGCATAGACACATAGATAGTATGTTCCTTACAGATGACATGTTGCGGGAGGATGATACTCCAAGAGAGTGTGCCGGAGTGGATGATAGTAGGCCTCCATCTCCCTTGAGCGATAGTGCTGACGTAGTGGAAGAAGAAAAGAAAACTGAAACTGAAATCCAACAAGCTCCCAAGAAAAAGCTGCAAGAACAGCCAGCCGTTGTTGACGAAAAAAAACTTCAGCTAAAGACCATCACAATAGATACTACACATGAGCCGTCTGATGATCTATCTGGAGGAATTTCGATTACATCTCCAGATCGACCATCGCCACTACGTACACATCCCAGAGAACAACATTCCGCAACCAGAGATCAACAGATACCAATTCACTCCTACACTCCTACCGAGCACATGATGCCACATATTCCTCACATGCCAGCCTTGATGATTCCTAATCATCATTTGCATGGATCCATGGCCCCAAGCCATATGAGTGGCCACATGAGCGGCCACATGAGTGGATATCACACACCAACGCTTCAAGGCTTGCCAATCAATCATCAAGGTCAAATAATGATTAGCACCACTGCTGCTGCTGCTTCGGCTTCTGCTGCGAATGGTGGCAAACGAAAGATTCATTTACGACTTTTGGAAGATTCACCCATACGCAGCAAACGAGTCTCCTTCTTCCTTGGTTTGAAAAAGAAACGAGGCAGTCTGCTCATGACACCCCGAAATTCTGATCCACCAGAAGAAGAGGCAGAGCAGGATGAATTCATTGATCGAGGTCGAGTGACAGTGTCGTGGTACGAGGGAACTTCTTCTTTGGAGTTGTACGAGCACGTTCAGAATAGTGTCCTGCGAAAATTGGGCCTGAACAATACCAACAAGCTATCGGACTTGAGGATTTTAGACGAAGGCGTTGACCCTCCAGAAGGTAAGAATTTACAACCTCACCCTGCTTTCAGTGGATACACACCAGCATGGACTCACGAACCTTTTTTCCTCACGCAATACAGAAATTGTTTTGAGCCCTTATATTCCCGATGGATCCAGATTACTACTTCGATTTTCGACGCAAGACAAAGGCGGAGACCTTAGCCCACCAATCAAACAACCATACAATGATGGACCTCCCATTTCTCCATCCGCTGCACCGAGTCCATATCGCCGCCCATCGATTGATTTGAATGATCTAGGACTCAACCCTGATCAACTTGCACTTCTTGGGAACCGGTTGAAGGGATTGGAAAAGACTCCCAGGACAGAACGAAAGAGACAGAAGAAAACAAAGGTTAATAAGATTGAAAGCAAAGGCAGCAACGACAGCGACAATGACGACCTTACATCTCAAGCGTCAACAACACTAGAGACGAACTCACTGCATCCCGAGGACCAAATTGAGAAAAGCCTAAGGCAAATCACCGAACTCTTGCTAGCGGACCGAACGAATCGCTATGTTCCACCAAGACGGCGAGAAAAGAGACAAGTGATCTTCACCTTAGCGAACTATTTTGTCTTGTTTCTTTCCTTGATTGCTATTTCGGCAGAGATTCAAGCACGGGCACCCCAATGGCACAAGTCGATTGAGCAACAGTTCAAGAATGTCCAAAGTTGCTCCAAAGACGAAGATGCTTTATATGAATGCATTTCCCAAGGAGACTTTGCGGGCTTGATTGCCTCGGTGGTCTTGTGGATCAGTAAATCCGCAGCCACCCGACGAATTTTCTTGTTTGGATTTCAATCACCCCGCAAGTTGTGGGCTGTTGTGTATGAGTGCTTGGTCAGCTCTGTCTGTTGGGGTTTCTCTTACATGTTTATTCGGCGCGGTATGAATCCCGATACCTCGACAAATTTTTTGCAAAAGTATTGGAAGGATGCCGTGTATGGCAGCTTGGCAGGTTTCAATGCTGCGTTTATGAAGCATGTGCTCAAGAACTTGATTCCACAAGAAGCAATCGAAGATGCACTGATGCAAGACAAAAGGTTGAAAATTCTTTCATGGCTGTCACTGGCAGAATAAGCATAACAATAATAGATGATACAGTATTTTGAGCTATTAGACAATGAATCGATTGGAGATGCTCATAAGCACCAATCTCTCTAGGCACAAAAATGAATAGTAACAATCGATATCGACGACTCGACTGACTGGCTCCTCCAAACACAGTATTTAGAAGTTAATAGGACAATGATGATGATGATGATTAAAAAAGAGATAATGACTCATGGTGTGGATGGATAAAAAAAATGACACTTTCTTCTTCTAAAAGGGTCGTCACAAAGATTGACTTAATACCAAGAACTGACAACTCTTATTCCAAAGACCAAGATATCAATTCCAAACTGGACTGGTGGATAATGTAGCAAGAAGCATCCAACAAGAAAGTTTGTTTGCTTCCATTGTTGGCTGGCTGGTGGGTTCATTTCACTTCTTCACATGATGAAACATCCACAACCTGTTCCAGCTTGATTCCCAGATGGTCCACCACTGCTACTAGCAGCAGCAGCACCACCCAATCGAATCTTTTTATCACCCCCTCCTTTGGAAGACGAAGCACCCATATTCTCCGGCCGCACCGCCACATTGATGGGAGTTGGATGTGTCTTGAACACTGGAACCTCACAATCCTCTAGCGTTCTGGAATCTGGCATTAATATTCCTTTTCCCATGCATATTAGTCTCAGGCGATCACCACCTGAACAGCTTGGTAAATCTGAATTGATTGATTCATAATGTTAGAAATAATAGATGGATGCAAGATCACGAGACAGGTTGAATGCTGTAGTAGGGTGCATTGACAGCACAGCACAGCACAGCACAGCACAGCACAGCACAACACAACACAACATCACAAGCATACCCCCAACACAAAAGCCGTATCCATTGCAAAAAACATGTAGTATACATACCTTCTGGCCACACTGACAGGAGCGCCCCCTTCACTTCGCCTATGCAATCTGTTGGATTGCATTCCACGGTAACGGTCAATCCATCTCGATTGGCAAAGAGGAACCGTAGAGTAATTTTGTTTGGATCATATTTGTAGGGTGGTCTTGATCGTTTGCTAGAAGAAACCACTGGAGCTGTTGCCCCTTCTTTTGGTTTTTCTGCATCTGGTTCTTTGGGAGCTTCGTCCTTATCACCAGCTTCTGAGGACGCAGGGGTTGGAGCATCCGCTTCAGGGGTTTCGGCTGGTTTTTGAGCATTCTCAGGCGTGTCTGTGGCTGGATCTGACATCATTTTTCTCTGTATTGGCTATATTTCCTGTATTCGTTGTAGGTGCAAGTGATTAAACTTCTTTTGCTGAACTGAACTGAGCTGAGCTGAACGGATGCAGCCAACGTATTCACAAATGAGCGTCTCTCGAAACGGAGGCTTTTGAATCAAGGGCGTGAAGAAAGAGAGCCTTTCCAAAAAATAGGTGTGGAGTTGAAACCTTTCGCCTTTTTCCTAATCCAGACAGACAACTGAACAGCTCTTGATAATTCAATCAGTCCCTAATGCTAGCGATGAAACCAAGGTATCCTTCTGATGAGAGCAGCAATGTGGGTTCCGGATGTTCACACTACCGGTACTTTCTTCGATGACTCTCTCCGTTTTTCAAGGCGTCTTCATCTCACAGCACAGGCCATTCCGAAATATTCCTCGACAGTTGGTCAGCAGGCCGCGTGTCTCCGAGGTCGTACATGTTAATAGAGACACGCACGCCAAGCATGGTTAAAAAACCTCATCCGTCGAGCCAGCCTGCCCCAATAATCCGAACAAATTCATCCCGCCGAAGTTCCGATTTGTTTTGCGTAGTACCCAAACGACACGTACAATTTGGCTCCCGCCGCCTTGTGTTTGGAGAAATGCCTTCTTTCCGCGCGTTTTCGATGGTTGGAATGACCAGAAGTTTGGGTATTTTCGTGCGTTATCCCGAAAATCGTTGTTTGGGAGTCAGTCAGTGGTGGAAGGGTGGGAGACGCTCGTTCACGTTCGAATCGCAGACTACAGCCAAAAGACATTCTCAAGTGTTGTTCCACTACCGGTACCGTACAGTAGAATATAACTTTTTGACGCCCACTGAGAAAAAGTAGGGACCATGACGTCCTCCGACCCATGGTCAATATCCGTCAAGGCTGTGGGAATTGGATTCAACTCGGAAGAAGAAGCAACCGCTGCGAGTTCAAGTCGCAATGCTAATGGAGAGCGCCAATTTATCGTCGAGGTGTCACCGGAAGATGGAGTCGCCTCCTTGCACGACAAGATTGAAGGAGCGACGGGTCTAAAGGCATCTCAGCAACGACTCATATATAGAGGGAGGCTAATAGGCAAATTTGAACAAAGAGACGAGAATGAAGAACCGCGCATCAAAGACATTGCAGGTTTGTGTGATGGACAAACGATTCATCTGGTCAAGAAGCGAGATCAATCGGAAGAGTCCAACAATGAATCGAATGCTGGCAATACCAATGGCAGCAGTTCGGATCCAACAGACTTTCTTGGCAATGCTTCGAGCAGTGGCGGTGGAGGTTCCTTGCTAGCAGCCTTGCTGGGTCTTGGCAATTTGCCGGAAGAGATTTCCAATGAAGACCGAGACAGCAGCGGTATTAGTATTGGTGGTGGTTCTTCCAATACACCTACTGCAGCCATGCCCACTACGGCAGCCTCTCCTTCCAACCCGGGAACTCGGGGACCACGATGGGGCTGGAGGTCCTCTCGGATAGGACGTCCAAGGCGGCCTCATTACCGATTAACAGCCGAGGACTTGCAGGTCAATGATCCTGGCTCGATGGAACCTGTTCGACAGGGATTGATGACTCTTCATACATTATTGCCACATGCGCAACAGGTTCATTCTGACCAAGTTTCCACACCGCTCGAAGCGAATCGTGAATGGTTCCGGGGACAATGGATTGACTGTAGAGATACCGTGAACCAATGGCTCGAAGCTACCGTTGTGGAGATTATGAGTCCAGACGATATTTTGCCACCCCGCGACGAAGATTCTTTGACGTCGTCTGTTAGTAGACGCGGAGCTTTACCGCGACATCAACGGCTACCACATGTGGCCAACGATCCTGCAGTCGGTGCTGCAGATTTGCAGGGAAGAAGGCGATTGTTGCTTGAACCCTGTGACTCCAATGACTCGGATGCGGAAGAAGGTTCGCTAGCAGGCTCTAGGCGACGCAGCAACAATGAAGGAGTTCAAATGCTACTAATTCATTACAATGGTTGGCCTCATCGATGGGACGAATGGATTCGAAGTGATTCGGAACGAATTCGGCCCTTTCGAACAAGAACGAGACATCCCAATGTGGTAAGTGGAAGGAATGCAGAAATGCATGAATTCAATCTATTTTGTTGCCTAGTTTGTATCACTTGAACATGTCTGATGAAAATGCATCCATCGTTGGCCTGCTCTTATAAACACAGTCATCTACTGCCTCGCCTACTCCGCAGTCAGTCTTTAATGATGCTCCGAGTACAAATATTCGATCGGAGGAAGAAGACGAAGATAGAGTACATTTGTTGCCAGAACTTGCTCGTGCTGTCTCGGCAATCAATGATCTACTCAACCAAGTTGCGGCGTCCGAAACCTCACGAGCTAGACCTGGAGAAGGTCACGATGACCTTCCTTGGGTTCCAGCAGAACCACAAAATTCATCATCTAGTCCAAACTACAACCGACGCCAGCTACAGAATCTAGCGCCACTTCTAGATCGACTTGGACGAACTTTGACGGATGCGGCACCGCATTTGGCAGCCTTGGCCGATAGTCTTCCATCGACGCGAACCACTGTGGAAGGGAATCAAACGGAATCATCCGAGACTAACGACGATGGCTCGATTCCAGACAGTCTACCCGATCTGAATATGAATCTAAGTAGGAACAGTGGTGATGGTGACCATCATCCTCCAACTACTGGGGGATTGCTCTCGCTATGGAATCGAGAACGTCGTAGTCAGAATAGTATGCATCCAGACGAAGTGCGATCTGGCCTTTTGACGGATGAAGATATAGATCCGGACTATGTGGATTATGCCACTGGTGTGGTCAACACATCGCGTGGTGATGTCCGAGCGGGACCGAGGAGTCGGCCGCAAAACGATGATGTGGCCAGTTTGTTGGGAGCCTACTTGGCGGCTGCGAGTCTCAGCAATGCAGTAGGAGGTGATGATAATGGTAACGAAGAAGGAGGTGGCGGTATGGGCGGTGCAGCGCAGTCATTAGGAAGTATACTGCGGGAGCGAGGAAACGGCGGAGGTGGAGGTTCTGGAGGGATTGATATTCACATTCATGCAGTGGTCACTACACCAGGTGGAGGCGGTGGTGGTGGCGGCGGTGGAGGACTGGGATTGGCAGCCTTGGGTGGTGGTGGACCCATTCCAACAGCTACCGTCATTGGAAGTGGCAATGGCGGTGGGGTTGGTGGTAACACTGGTCTCGGTGGCACGGGACGCACACTTTTTGCATCGCGAGACCGAGGCAGTCGAACTTCAAGCATTTTGAGGTCCAGGCACTCTCATACTGCTCCAGCTGTACCTGCTTCGGAAGAAATTGAAGACACTAGCCTCTTTTCGGAACTCTACTCTGAGAATCCTGAACCAGTGGATCCCAATGGATCCCCTGAACCCGATGCTCGAAGAGCTTCTCGGCCCCCAATAGTGGACGACGATGACACCGATTTTATTCGACGCATTGCCGCCATGAATGAAGGTGATGACCGTGATAATGCTGGTACAAATACGAGGCGAAGCCGCAACAGTTTCCGACGACAAAGCACAGAACGCCGTGGTTGGGGACGATTGTTCCGCCGACGAAGAAGCCATCGGGATTCCAACCTGTAAGAGGATTACTACTGTACCACTGTATTCCTCGGCTACTAGAGACGCGCGCATGTTTTTTCAACTATGCCGCGCGATGGAAAGAACTACAATACCCACACAATTTAGAATCCATATCATATTGCTAAAGAACCACCTCATATGTAAGCATTCATCTTTAGTTTCTAGCGCAGTCGTTTTCTCCTTGTACAGATCTCTATTTCATACTGGCAGTGAATCAATCGATTGCTTATTGAAGATAGTGTCAGAAGGGCAAGTTGGAATTGGAGCCGATTTGTGAAGTAGTACCTGGTACCAGGTACCTGTGAAATGCAGCGACAACGCGCACTTTTCCCGTTGGAATGTACTAAGTTGCAGATGGTGGATGCTCTGGAAGATAGAATCAGATTTTGGGAAGTCATATGCATTGAAAGAGAAGTTTCATACCTTGACCGATTGATTCATTCGGTCTAGGCTATTCATCCCAATGTAGCCGGTACACACTGTTACCAGATCAATCGACGACACAAACGATGTATTACCTGCAGTGACACTTTTTCAATATCCTAGACTTTGGATGCTCGTCTCTTTGAAAACTTCAGTAGTCTTTGATCAGCAATCGCAGCAGTAGTAAAAGCCGAGTGACACTAAAATATGTAATAACGTTTTCTATAGGTTGGATTTGTGATTATGATGCAGTGTGTTTGGTATACTATGATTTCTAACTCGCCGTCTTTCGCCGTATCTAACTCTCTTTTTCTTCTTTTCCTTGCTCCCACAAGGACAAGCCTATGCCTCCAGCCAGCAATGAAAATACAACGCCAAGCGATACTTCGGTTGGAACTTCGAACCCAAAGTATTCGCCAATCATTTTCGATCCAATAAAGCCAAGGATGATGGCAACTGACGTCTCGAGGTATTCCAATTCCTCAGCAGCTTTGGAAAGAATGGTGTAGAGACTTCGAAGTCCCAAAATGGCAAACATGTTGGAGCTAAACACCACCAATGGATTCTGGAAGAAAAAAAGGAAGCAGAAGCATGTGAGTACTAGTCGCAAGCAGGGAATAATCCATCCAAGAAACGTTTCCTTGCTATTCCAGCCGGATACGAGTATTACTAATCAGGGGAAACAAGGTTGAGCGAAGATGAAGCGGTGCGTGACGTACCTCTGTGACTCCATAGACAGCAGGAATACTGTCGACCGCGAACACAACGTCACTCAATTCCACAGCAATGGTACAAAGCAACATTGGGGTTGCAAGCCTTACTCCATCTTGCACAGTGAAGAATTTATTGCCATCAAAGCTAGGGGTTGACTTGATAAAGTTGTTGGCAAGCTTGATGATGGCATTATCCGCCAAATCCTCTTCCTCGTCGTCATCACTTCCCAACAACACTTTGCCGGAGCTGAATAGCAAAATTCCGGCAAAGACCAACAACACAGCGTGGAACTGGTGAATCGCCACAGCACCTGCGCCAATCATGATGGCTCTCATCATGACAGCACCAATGATACCATAGTTCAAAACACGGTTTTGATATTTCATGGGTACCTGAAAGTATTCAAAGAGCAATAAGAATACAAGCAGGTTGTCAACAGAAAGGGAAAGCTCCAGAAGGTATCCCGCAAAAAACTCTTCCGAGGTAGTTGAACCAAAGGCAAAACCAAGGCCGGTGCCAAAGGTTGCGGCTGCTGCTACACATGCCAAAGTCCTTCGAATTGCGGTAGAGAAAATCTTATCCTCCGAGCTCATGGTAATGGATCCTGCCCCATTTGGATCTGTGCTGCTTAGTGATGGTGAATCGGCCAAATCCTTCTCTGATAGGACGTGTAGTTGTGAATGACGTGATTGTTGGTAGCTGGTATGAGGTCGTGTACTCAAAGAAGAGCCCTGTTTTACCAGGAACGGGGTGATTGGTATAGTTGGCCCCACGAATCCATTGACAATCCCGCAGGCACTCATGATCGCTATTATTCTGACACTGGACTTCATTTTGACGTGAATTTTTATTGGTTGATTCAAGCTTGAAATTGATTCGAACAATGTGTTTGCAGCTGAAACGGGTGCTATCGGTGCTATTGTGCTTGGTATCCCTTGCTATCGATGATGAATATATGAATGTCTCAAGTATTAATAACTATCAAACTTGATGACTTCTGAACAAAAGACAGTTGACACGATGCAGTTTTTTCTCTCTGGTGGTCAATGCTGATGATGATTCAGACAAAGTTGAGTCTGGTTCATGACCTGGCTGGTCCTCGGTAGCAGGTGTCAGTCATCCAATCACAAACCACTTTCGGCCACGTCATACTCGAAAAATTTGCTCCAGTTTTCCGGTTCTCTAGTTTTCCAGATCCCCAACACACATTCTAATTTGCAACGTCATCATCATCTCGAATGAATGAATCAATCTGTGAACGCCCCGCTCCAGATTGCAACATCTTTGTTCGCGTCGAAACGCTGGTAAGAACTATGGTTTTCTTCTCAAAAGTCTTTAGTGTGCATCGAGATCGTAATCCAACAGATTCTCAGTCGCATGAGTCGTTATATCGGAACTGAATAATCGATTCGCTTGGTCAATATCTCAATCATCATCAACAATATCCATGACATTGTTGCAGCCAAACTTGAGAAAGGCAAGCTTACTGGTAGCGAAAAATACAAGTTGAACAATAATATCAACTTTGAAACATTGGCAGGCAGCTTTTGTTCTATATGGATTCCAGTTGTGATGAAGATATCTTTTGGTGTGATGTGAGTTCATTTTTAAAAAAATATCAGTCCCGTCGTGAACGCCACGCAATCCATATTCCGTTCGCAACCATATTCGGTCGCGTAGAAACACTTGCACGCCACCATTAAGTCGACATCAACAACAATTCCCGGAATCAACATGTTTAGGGAACAAATCAAACTGGACTACAGGAAAAAATGGAAACCACGAATACCCTTCGACAATAATCGACGAAAGAAAGAAAAAAAACTACAGCACTGTACTTGTAGGCATCGTAAAAGTAAAGTACAATCTCTATTAGATACAGTAGTAGTCAAAAGTTGTGTGCCAAAATTGCAAAGTAATGGAGAGTATGTTCATGCTGCACCAGCGCATTGCCCCTTCAATATAAGCGGTGATGTATTTTGCACAAAGCCATCCATTTCCCCAACCTCACCACCACGGTTGTAATCAACCATGTGAACGTACATCATTGTGCTTAGAAGGTTCTGTAGACACATTTGACGCTTTCGCTCGTTATTGGCCACTCTGTGGATTTCGGAAAGGTTATTGGCAATGATCATGGAAAAGGCGAGGCAGTTCATTTCTTCTTGGACATGCCATCTGTAGGATAGTTCGTACAGTTTCAGCGCCTTTTGTAGTTTGCGTCTTCGTTGGTTTTCTTTAGTCTCACCCATGGCGCTGAGGTGGTGTGCAAGAGCCATGTTGTAAGTCAAAATGAAGGAAAACAGAGACCCCATGGGCATGTCGATGAAATGAGTAGAAATGCGCAGAGGAACTCTGTGGATGAAACCTTCAGAGGAATCCTTTTTGTCTGATGATAGCTGTTTCTCCAAGTCTTGACTTGAAAATGAAGAGCGGGAGTATCGCAAGCAAGCTTGCAAGGAATGGCCGCCAAAGTTTGTTGGAGGGCTTTGCGTTCCATCAGAAGAATGGCTTGACAGTTGAAACGCTTTAGCAAGGTAGCGAATCGCATGCTCGTATCTTCCATCGTCGATACAGCTAGCAGCCTTGTTATTGTAGCTTTGAGCAACCGCGTGGCTTTTGAATTCAGGTTGAGAGGAGGATTGAGTGTTGCTGCTGAACATGTTTTGATTTTATGATTGTGGCTTTTCAATGTTGTGGAAATAGTCGCGACAAAAATGTGTCTTGCTTGACAGTGGAAATCCAACCAGTATCGTTCGTTACGAATAAGGCCTGTTAGAAAAGAAAATCGATTCTTTTCCTAGATGAGCTGTTGACGTTCTCCACTTCGGTGTGACGAATTACATTTATTGAGAGAGGGAGTTTCAGAAACGCCCGGAGAATTTGCAAACCTATTTAAGTTTCGCGTCGTCAGAAACTTCCGGATAAGGCCTTTTGGCAGTTTGGGTTGCGGGGCTCGGTGAGAAGGGACTCATCTCGTTTTCGGCTAAAATCCTCGCCATTTTGGCTTTTTCCCTTCGAGGTGGTAGTCTCTCCGTGCTGTTGCTTCCAGGTCGCGAATATCAGACTCTTTGAGTGTTGTCGTTCTTGGTTCTAACAGAAACTAGAATGCGCTTCTAATTGACATACCCGGTTCTGAAAACAATTATTGAAACAGTCATAATGATTTATTCGACATTGGTTTCCAATACCAAAACTTGTTTGAACATGCAATGTCTACATAGGGATAGAAACGCTATTTGGAATTCTGATGATGCACAATCGAAAAGGCTGCAAAAAAGCTTGGACATTTTCGATAAGAGCTGGAATGTTGGTTTAAGTTGAAGTTTGGTCCTACATGAACATCTTGCAAGGAGAGTAAAACTATCCCCTCACAAGGCCACAATTTCTGTCACCGGATACGGTAAAGTCGTATCCGGTACATGAAAGCCGTTCTAGTGCCTTCTTCCACCATGACCCCGGTAACCACCTCCACCACCTCGGCCGCCCCAAGAACGACCACCACGTCCCCCTCGACCGTACCCGCCTCTGTAAGAACTTCTTCCTCCTCCTTCACGGTGATTGCTGCGGTCATCGTGTTCGTCGGATCTGTATCTACTGTCTCTGTCATCATAGCGCTCATGTCTTGAATGTTTGTTTTGGCTTCCATCTGCCGAGTGATCGTCATTGCGGCTTCTCTTGGATCCACGGTCATGCTATAGGAGTAGTTGTGTGAAATTAGAGTAGAAAGCGCAATTAGATACCATTCTTGCTATTCTCAATACAAGAATATACATTCCAGTAGTACTTACATCACTCCCACCATCTCCATCATAGCGGCCACCACCGCGATTGTTGTAATCGCTATCTCGTCCGCCTCTATGGCCGCCCCCGCCTCTACTACCGCGATATCCACCACCATCGTTCTTCTTGTACCTACCCCCACCACGACGATCGCCACCGTCCTTGTTGCGGTTGTACCCAGCAGGCCCCATTGTGTATCCTGCGGGTGGACCACGGCGTCGACGTTTGGGAGGAGGTGGAGATTCCTGTGGTTTATCAATTTCATTCTCTCCTACTTTGGCTTCAGCAGCAGCAGAAGTCGATGAATCCTGAGCAATTCCACTGGATGAAGGATCAGATCTACTGTTACGATTGGTCTCATCCTTATCGACTCTATTGCTATCGGCTTCTGCGTTTTCACTGGCAGCCTTCTTGACTTCGTCTTTTTTGGCCGGTGTAGCATCCGCTTCTTTAATCTCTTCCTTCTTCTCTTCTATCTCCACTTCCGTCGGCTTGTCCACTTCCACAGCAAAGACATCACCACCAAAGTCATCGTCATCCGCAAACGGATCATCTTCTTCAAACTTCTTTCGAACAATGGAGGACTTTCTGGAAACAATGACTCCCTTTTCAATTCCATCTCCTTCTAGAATATCACTATTCAAACCAGAGCTAGCGGCTGTTTCAGCACCTACGTTTTCGTCTTCTTCCACTCGCATTTGTTCGACTTCATCTACCTTGTCCATGACACCCTTGATGAATACGTCGACTGCTTTGCGCAAACCAATATTTGGCAACAAGTCATCTGGACTAACACCTTCCATTCCCGTCAATGGACAGCGAAAACCGCTTTGGGTGAGAGCATCTCGAATGCAAGACTCGCAAGTGGAGCGACCTTCAGAATCCCAGGGCAAAAGTGTGGCCTTTCTCAAAGCCTTGTTACAAATGGGACAGAGCAAATAGTCTGGCACCGTACTGGCAGTCAACTTCAAGGCATAGTCCAAATCATGGCGAGTCCCCGCAATATTCGCCGATAGACCACCACCTCTGCTGACCAAATCCTTGAATCCTTGCGAGTTGGGTTGCAATACTGCTACGGCGGTATCATCTCCTTCTTCTCCATCAATGGGAGGCGGCGCCTGCAAACTTTGAAAGGTTCTTGGAATGCCAGTCGTTCTGGCCTTTTTGGGCTGGTTTTTCTTTTCTTGTTCTCGGAGCTCGGGGTCGGCATTGGGTCGGAACTGTTGGGTCGCATGAAAGTTATTGCGTTTTGGAGGACCACCACCACCGCCAGACGATGGAAAGCTGCCGCCGCGAGACGCTGCATACCCTCCTCCCGTCATGGCCGGACCACCAGCCGATTGCAAATTCGTAGCTGCTTGCAAGGCTGCCAATTCCGATTCCTCATTGGCAGCAGGGGCCTGAACAAATTCATCATCGTCTCCTGCTCGACTTTCAATCGTATAAAAGCTATTCGGAGCACCACCAATAGAACCTTGAGTCGCCATGCCCGTTCCTGCTTGCTCATTCCTGGCCATTCTCGCCAGGAATCCATGGCCTCGTTGTGCGGGCAAACGTTGGACAATGAGACGTGTGCCTCTTGGCAAAAGCATAGTCTCGTTACTGTATTCTTCATTGGTATCAGCATTTCTCACTCCCAAATCGAATTCCATGCTTCCTGAATCCAATTTCTTGGCCTTAACAATGGCTTTTTTGACGTCAAACAGCCTAGCTGCCGAGCCGGGCAAAGGAAGGGCTTCAAAGGTTGTACCCGAACGGAATTTGTACAAAATGGTGGACGCCATGTTGTTGGTTAGTTTGGTTAAAAATATTGAAAAAGTCTATCAGCGAAATCTTTGTGTGTCGTTTGAATGATGATTCGTGTTTGCCAAATATGATTGATTGCTTGATTGCTTGATTTGATTGGTACGAATCTCTATTGCAGATCGTGTGTCTCCCCTGTTTCAGATTGTGATATAGACAGCTGTCTCCTTTTTGGAACAGTAGGGCTGGAAGTGTTCACAATCCTCCACAATATAAAAAGTCTATCTCAACTGCCAAGCTTCAGTCCCAAGTGCGGAGTTGCGATCTTTTGCTGTGACGATGATTTCTCGTGGATCCAGTCTGGCCGTAGGTAGTACGTGTACAGTGTCGTCACTACTGATGATCACCGAAAAATCTGAAGAATAATCCCGATGAATGAATGTACCGGTATGGCAATCCAATCGTTGTCTTTCTCTTGTTTCAACCTTCTACAGTGTACGTCTACAGTGGTGTCCTCTCCACAGGATGTTTGTCTGCGCTCTCTTTCTCTCGCGGTCAGATGAGAGATGAGTTGAGGTGACGTCAAGAAACAAACACGCGATCTCGACGGTGTGTCGAACAGACAGACGAGAAATAAATCGGTTCGGGTCGATTCGGCTGTTTCGAATGAATGCCAGCGCTCGATTCGAATGCCGTTTCGATTTCGATTGCCTCCGCCAGTACCAAAATTGAAAATCCTTTCCCCGTTTCGGTGTGGCATTCCAGCCGCATGCTGACACGAAGGGCCCGTCAGTCGGTTTGTACGTGGCGTTTCTACCTCGCTCCTGATCGGCAGCAGAGCGAAGTGCAATCAGCTCTGGTCTAGTTCAGTACCAGTGCATTTCATTTCAGGTTCATCATTTCAATTTCATCATTGTCCAGTAGCATCGTCTGCTCTTTGTCCGAACACAGCGCGCACCGAACGCGAAGCAGAACAGTCATCAAGGGTTGGCACCCTGTGACCGGAGCAGCACTCGGAAGATGGAAAAATCGTCCTGACAGCTTGAAGAGAGAGAGCTATCGTTGGATTCATCCGTTTTGGTTGTGTTTCGCACTCCATTATATTACTTATTATAATAGAAGAATCAATCAGTAGTTTTTGAAGCAAAAGGGAGAGCAAGTACCGGTACTTTAGTAGTTGATAAAAGATACAATCATAGAACTATAGGATGGGTTGTTGTGAATCCGTTGAGGTGGATGCGAGCCAATACGCCGGTGCCAATGGAGGAGCACCACAGGAATCCGCTGTCAAGGCGCCAGAAAAGGCCTTGCGTAAGGTTGAATGCAGTGAAGAACCAAAGGAAATAATTTGTGGAGGATTGCGGTTACGTTATGCCTTTCTAAGTCAAAAGGGTTATTATCCAGACGATCCACACAAACCCAATCAAGATGCTTACAGTATCACTGAGCGTTTTGGAAGCAAAGAATCGAACGACTCTTTCTTTGCCGTTTATGATGGTCACGGCAGAGATGGTGATCTTTGTGCCCAATTTGCTCGCGATAAAATGTGCGGATACCTTGCCAAACATCTCAAGAAAGCAAAAGACAAGGAAGGCAAAACCCAAAAGGCAGAGATCCAACAAAGAATTGAACGGCATCCTAATCCTTCTTCTCTTGATCCTTTGAATTATATAGAGCTTCCTAGAGAAGCCTTTCAGCAGGCTTGCAGTAAGGCTCATGTGGATTGCAACATGGCGATGCACCAAGATCAATCTCTTGATGATTCCTTGTCGGGAACCACTGCCATTTCAGTCTATGTTCACGGCCGCAGAAATCGTATTACCATTTGCAACGTCGGTGATAGTCGAGCAGTTCTGGGCAAGTCGTCCACCAGTGGCAAGTCTGGAGCCCGTGAAGCACTCAAGGCCTTTCCATTGTCCCGTGATCAAACACCTTACCGACGAGATGAACGGGTGCGTATAAGAGCGACGGGAGCAAGAATTCTTTCCTTGGACCAACTGGAGGGACTAGAACCCATTCTGGATGAATCTCAAAACCAAGATGATCTGGAGCTTGGCGAAGAATTGGACGAGGGTGGTGATCCTCCTCGTGTGTGGAGTCCCAATGGAGACTATCCAGGAACTGCCTTTACGCGGTCGCTGGGCGATGCCATGGCTGAGGAACTTGGTGTTTTTGCCGAGCCAGAGATGTTGACTCGTGAAATCAAGCCAGACGATCGTATCTTGGTGATTGCTAGTGATGGAATTTACGAGTTCCTTACCAATCAGAGTGTCATTGACATTTGCGCTAAGTTCACAGATCCACTAGAGGCCTGTAGGGCAGTGGTTGCAGAGAGTTACGAACTTTGGCTCCAATACGAATTGAGAACTGATGATATCACCATCATTGTGGTATTTTTGGATCAGATTATGGATGCCAGCCTAATGGAGCGAGAATACATTACTTCCCGACGTGACGATCTCATGTCTGCTAGAAAGGCATCTCTAACTATGATGAGTCCGGCAGAGCTTGAAGAGTCCGAACACATGGAACCTGGTGCTGACTCGGACGATGAGTTCCAATTGGGACAAGAGGCCTTCCGTCCTGTCCGTACTCGTATGACTAAAGAAAAGGCTCAGGAAATTGAAAAGCTCAAGAATAGCGTTGAAACTGACTTTGCCGATGAATTGGCAGAAGAAGTGGACATTGAAAAACTATATACCGAAAAGACGGTATCCGAAAAGGCGCGTATTGCCGATGCCATCAAGACATCTGTCATGTTCCGAAACATCACGGAAGATCAACGAGAAATGATCTTTGGAGTGATGGAACCCATTTCCGTCAAGGCTGGAACTTGGGTCATTAAGCAGGGATCCTTTGGAGATCGTTTCTACATTATTGATGAGGGCCGATTTGAAGTTCGTATTGTCGGAGAAGGCGATCGGGATGATGGTACTGGAGGTTCTCTTATTCACGTATACGAGGGTTCGGTTGCCAAGCACTCTCACCCTTGTTTTGGTGAACTTGCCCTCATGTATTCTGCACCCAGATCTGCTTCCATTATTGCCCGAACTGATGGTCACTTGTGGGGGCTTCATCGCTCCGCTTTCCGTCAAGTCTTGGCGCAATCACAAGGTACTCGCAAGGAATTGATGCACACCTTGTCCGGAATTCCAATGTTTTCTGAACTTGAAGAGGAAGAGATCGTGGCTCTTGCTGTTGCATTTGATGAGATTGCCTTTGGCCGTGGTGAAAACATTATTGAACAGGGTCACTTTGGTGATACTATGTATGTCATCACATCAGGATCTTGTGGTAAGTCCAATATATTGTATGGCTGTGGTTAGTGCACTTGTGTGGCAATGAATTTGAAGCTCATATCGTCTCTCTTTCTACCTCTGCAACACAGAATTGGTGCGACTGGTGAAGGGAACGGCCAGAAACTCACCCATCAAGGCCGGTGATTACTTTGGTCACGAAGTTATGATCGACCACCAAAAGTATTTGGCTACAGTTGTTTCACTGCAAACAACGACTGGATGGAAGATTTCTCGAGCCAAGCTTAACAAGGCAGTGGACATTGAGAAACTGAAGAAGGCTCCCCGCAAAAAGGGATAAACTTCTTGCCTATAAGATGGATTTCTTTGTTTTTTTGTGGCCAGTGACGTGAAATAAATCCATCTACCAAAACGTCTTGTGGAGAAAGTTCCAGTTTCGTATTGTAAACTAATAAAGCTTCTGGTTCTCTTTTGAGAATTTACTTGGGTGCGTCTTTAGTCTAAAGCAACCCCTTGATATTTCGAACGAAATGCACAAGATGCAGAACCATATCATTATGCTGTACGGAGGGATTGCACTGTTGATTCAATTTCTTCCTCGAAGTCAGAGAGACGACTCGGGTGGTGATGGACCACTAAGTCCCAATCTCGGAATCTCCACCTTGGGGCACCGATCCATGACAACCTCCAAACCCGCTTCTTGTGCTTTTGTTGCTGCCTCTTGACTGATCACTCCCATTTGCATCCACACAGTCTTGGCCCCAATCGCAATGGCTTCGTCCACAATCCCAGGGCAGGCAGCCGCATTCCGAAAGATATCCACCATATCCACACTGTGATTATCTTCGTTGATACTAGAGAGATTGGCATAGACCTTTTGCCCCAGCAATTCCTTGCCTTCCATTCCTGGGTTAACTGGAATGACATTGTATCCCTTATCCAACAAGAACTGCATGACATGATGAGCGGGCCGTTCGGGTTTTGCCGAGGCTCCAACTAGGGCAATGGTTTGGCTCGTCTCGAGTACTTTGCGAATTGTCTCTTCGCTGTTTGTAAAAGCAGCAGCGGTTGACATGTTTCTAGGGAGTAAGAACAATGAGGAGGATAAATTAAATGGTAACAATAGAGGATTCCGCAAACAACGACTGAATCTCATGCTTGTCTTCAGAACTGCAATCTGCAATGGCCTACCGGTATATTGCCGCTTCGCATTCAAAAAACACTTTGAATCATGAATGAAAGAGTCACGAACATCAAAAGCGTACGTACACGTACGTCAATCCCAATTCGACACTTTTGATGGCTCAACAACATTCACACCTCAAAAGTGGTGAACTGTCTTTATTCTATAAGTTCATACAGATTTTAGACTGAACATGACCGGACAAAAAGTTCTCTCCTTGATCTTGGTTACCACTGTCCTCAGTGTCCATTCAGTTCTGGAGGCATCCGCATTCCTTCCACAACAATACCGAACAATCTATACATCAGACGATGTCACTTCTTCGGCACTTTTCATGGCCAAAGCCGCCAAGAAAAAGAAGAAAAAGCCTAGTGGTGGTGGCGGCTTGAAAGGTTTTGGCTCTCCTGTCAGCAAAGATTCCTCTGGCGCCATGTCAAATATTGAACTGGATCGATCTGTCGATGCTCTAGCCTTTTATGATTTTTTGGAATCAAATGATGCCGGCGACAATCTCAAACGATGTGGATTGGGTTTCTTTCCACTAGAAAATGGTATGAAACTGCGTGGTGTTGTAGCTTTGAAAACCATCAAGAAGGGCGATGTCATTATTCGGATTCCGTACGAGTTGGCAGCAAATCTGGGGCAAGAAGGCGCGGATCCGACCATTCCAGCCCAAGCCTTTCTCAAGGATTACTGCGATGTGTTGGGAGATAGCCCTGGAGAGGGTGATATGGCACGTAAAAGCTACTACAAAATGCTGCCACCGTACCGAGGAGACGATTGCTTGGGTTCCACCGACTTTTTCTCGGACGAAACGTTGGAAGCTCTCCAATCTCCCACGATTGTCGAAGAGACGTTGAAACGACGAGATTTGACCAAACTCCGATTTGAGCGCGACATTGAAAGCGAAGATTCCCCCGACTTTCCAACTTGGATCGATGGAACTCCCGTCACTGTCGATCACTTGCAATGGGCTGTGTGGTTGATTACTTCTCGAGTCTTGACGGTCCAAGGGGCGGAAAGTGACAATAAATCCTACCGACTCTTGATTCCGTTCCTGGATATGTGCAATCACGATCGATCCAGTCCTCATATTCTGACTGGTCGAGCGGCTCCAGGAAGAGAGCTCAAGGTTGTTGCGGGAGCAACGGTCAAAGAAGGTGAACAAATCAACATTTGCTATGGTGGAGGCCAAGCTGGTAATGATCGATTTCTACAGGATTATGGCTTTCTAGATACTGGAGTTGACGGCAAAGCATATACCATGGTGGCCCAACAATTGCTGGGGAAGCGGCGAATGGTGGAAGGAGTCAGCGCAGGCAAGCTCTTGTCCAAAGCTGATCAAGATAGAACACTTGATTCTCTTCGATCGACAGCAATTGAAGCTGACAAGAAGCTTTTAGAAGATACAGACGATCCAGCTTTGAAAACTTCCATAAACTATCGATTGGGAGTGAAGCAAGCCCTTTCCAAGTTTATTGTATTGCAATAATATTAGTATCATAGTTATATACATGTTACTTTAGTCCAGCTGCTTGAGTATGCTAACATGTGCTAACATGTGCTAACATGCATTACAATTCACCAAATCTTAGTACTGTACAAATCGGAAAAGGTTGTTTTCCAATTGCATCAAAATTCTCAACAGTCTTCATGGAGGGCCATTCAATAGAAGTCAAGTCAACAAGGACAGGAGATCATACAGTATCACTTTAGATACTCAAATCCAAATCTTCATCATCATCAGCTGCAAAGCCAGCGTCCTCAAATTTGTTCAACCGTTCCGATGGATTCTTAACCTTGATTCCAGCAATGGCGGCCACTCCCAACAATTCTTCCAATTCTTGCTGCTTCAAGGATTCCTTATCGTCTGCGATCTGCCGACGAAAGTCACCTTGTTCACTCATTTTGTAGCCATCAAAGTAGGCTCTATCACTCCGGGCAAATTCTTCTGGTGTTAGTTCTCGAGAGGATCCACTATTAGTTGCATTGTATGGAATGGGGAATTAAAGTTATATTTTTGTGAGCAATGAGAAGGCAACAAAATTCAATGAGAATGCTAGAGAAATTCGTGACTTACATTCCCCAGCCTCCAGTTCCGTCACCATCGAAAAGAGCCGTTTCCACGCGGGGCGCTGACTGGGTCATGAATGACAACGATAACGTTGGAAGCACAAATAATAAGAGGTTTGAGAGCATCATGGTTACTTTGTACGATACAAGGAGAGCTTTTCCTCAGCGTCGAAGCTTTCTGTTGGTTTTTCTCGTTCGTCGTTCGCTCCCACCAAAGCAGGAAAGCTGACGTCACAACTACAGTAAAGATTGGCGAAGTTAGAGTTGGAGGGAGACAAAAACCCGTTGTAATTTCCATCTGGCAACTCTTGATTGAAGCTTCGTGATTGGCATATCATTTTCGAACCCCTACAAACGACTACTGATTTTCCCGTACGATTGAAACACGTCCAGACTGTGATGTTGGTGCATTCTGAATCACACCTTCTCCCACAATTTTGTAATCGTAGGATACCTCACTGCCTCCCCGGCCTTGAAATCCATATCCAAACTTTCCCGCTCTCCACACACTGCCTAACAAAGATACTATTTACTATCACAACACAACCATGAAAGCCTCCATCCTAGACTTTGCGATCCTCCTATCACTATTTATGAGCGTTAGCTCCTTTTCGAGCAACTCTCCCATCACACAGCAATCGAGAACCCCCACACGATTATTTGCAGAAGAACCAGCACGCTCACTAAAGCGTAGATCCATTTTGGGCAACCTGAGAAAGGCAGTGGTTGGAAGTGCAACGCTTGCCGCGTTCCGCCAAAAGCCTGCTCCAGTCAACGCCGAAGATATTCTTGCAAGTCCTGGGCGAACCGTCCAACTGGAAATTGCCAACCTCGAAGGAGTGGAAGGCAACACGGGCATTGTAAAGCTCAAGCTTCAACCAGAATGGGCCCCACGAGGTGTCAAGAGATTTGAGGTAAGCATACATCATAGCATCCACTGAACACTACTATTTCACCTGGTCACTTCTAACATTTTTAAATCACAACTTTGTGTCTACTTTTATCAGGAACTAACGGATCAAAAGTTTTTCGACCAATGCCGAATCTTTCGAGTGCTACCTGGATTCGTCGCTCAATTTGGAATCAACGGTGATCCCAATGTGCAGAGCAAATGGAGGTCTAGCAGCATTCCAGACGATCCAGTCAAGGTCAGCAACACTCGGGGCACGGTGGTATTTGCTACAGCTGGGCCAAACACCAGGACGTCACAAATCTTTGTCAATACAAACGACAAAGGAAATGGTTTCCTAGACAAGCAAGGATTTTCTCCTTTTGGACAAGTAGTTGAAGGCATGGACGTTGTCGATAAGTTCTATGCTGGATACGGAGAGGGAGCTCCCTCTGGAAAGGGACCCAACCAAGGCTTGATTCAAGCCAAGGGCAACACATACCTGGAAGCATCTTACCCCAAGCTCTCTTACATTAAGAGTGCCAAATTCCTTGATTAAACTGTGTGCAAAGAATGCCTAGCCTAGCATAAACAAATATAGAAACGCATCCATTAGAACTTTTAACTTCATTTCGGCGCCCTTCTCATCATAATATTATTACAAATTTTTTTTCTCCAACCGATGAAGGTCTCATTTTTGTCGAGACATTTCTCCATTTCCCCGCCGAATAACGTCACACACCTTTGCCACATCGTTGAAGAACAGCACAGTACCCTCCTCTTGTTCCCACAAGAAAGAGAATGCTACCTGTTTACAATGACTTCCTGTTTGTAAGAGCACTTCTATTGGCCAGCGCTAAGTGATGCTGAAAATCAATGACCTACATTTGGATGATTCTGCTGCATGTGGATAATGAATGACTACATCAATGGACTGCTTGTGTACTTCCCGTGACTTTGTTTTGTCATTGTAACTTACAGTGGAAAGAATCCACTTCACTGCTAAGTACTGGATTCTGATCGTCACGAAATGAGTTCGTCTTTTAGTGGATGACCTCTGGATCTTTCGGTATCTGCGGTTCAACTGTTAAGAATGACCTCTAGTGTTGGTGCGAAACGAAGAGCGAAGTCGTCTCGATCTGAAGAGAGAGTAAAGTTTGGTCGGCTTATTTTTATTTTCGGTTGGCCGCTTCTGCTGACTTGAATCGAATACTATCTGTCAACATGGGTGATGAAGAAGAAGGATAACTAATGACCGGGCTGGAAGTATTTTTATTGCTAAAACACTACAATCAGCCGGCGATTCTTGCTGGAAGTAGGAAGATGGATCAGACCGTCAGCAGCGATACTGGTTCGACCAGGTATCTTGAAAACAGAAAACCATCCAGAGGTACAGTAAGGTAGGCTTTCGCGTGTCGTTCGTTCGTTTGGACATTGTCAAGGGCTGCTTCACTTTCCTCGTGGAGTCTCGAGAAACCAGAAGGAGAAATATAGAATATAGAATGTAGAACATGCATCCAGGCAGTTATATATGTAAAGTCTATTTTGTGCATTTACGACGTTCAAGCTCAACAAAGAACGTAAAAACAAAGGATGATACAATAGCAGTATCTTGATTGTCGTGATGCGTTTTCCCATCTATTTGGTATGTCATTCAGATTGCCCCTCAGCATTTCTCTTGCACCAGAATTTCCCCACTCTCTGCAAAGCTCTTGTGTGATCCGTTTCGGACTAAGAAAGCCTTGTATGAACCTTCAGCAATGGGCCAAGAAGATCCCGAGGCTGCTGTTTCGTCAAAGTATACCGAGCCGTGACGAGTTGTGACTCCGCAATCTTGTCTTCCACAAGTCTTAAGCCACAGTAGAGGCTCTCCAAGTTTCTCAGGATCGGCATTCGAGTCATACAATCCAATCCAGTCAGTGCCTTCAGCGTCGCAGTTCGTAATGTGGACTCTGATGTCACTTCCACTCTCGTAGCACGTCTTAATTGCATCAACCTTGTTTTCGCAGACATTAGCTTCCCCAGAAGTTAGGGATTGTGGGGTTGAGCCGCGAAGCTTTGGTGAATCTGCCTCTGCTATTTGAATTGAGATGCCCTGTGAAACGACCGAGGCCTGTGACACGCCACTTCCACAGAAGGTACAGCAGTTGCACGTAATTGAGCCTCCTGCTTGGCAGTCTGTCGTGAAGATAGTAAGGTCGACCAAGGGTTGACAGAACGAGGCTTCTACCACCCCTGTCAGAAAGTTATCAGTTAGCTGCAATTGTTGTAATTTCACCATCTCTGTCATTTCCAGAGGAATGCTGCCGCTTAATCTATTACTTTGAACGTCAAGAGATTCTGGTTGCAATGGGTGAGTGAACACTATACTTTCAAGATGAAACGATGCAACTGGCTCCGTAGTACATACCGAGATTCTTCATTTTTCGAATGTCCGCAGGAATGGCTCCTTCAAAAAGGTTTCTACTTAGGTTCACTTGCTTTACATCCTTAAGCCTTCCAATGTTCTTTGGGAGTTCGCCGTTGAAAGCGTTGTTGGACAAATCCAATATATTGAGTTTTTTCAAGTCACCAATTTGTTCTGGAAGGTTTCCACTCAAGCGATTGTTGCTGAGGTCCAAAACGCCTGCAGAGATATCAAAAGTAGTAGGGTGAGAAATACTGAGATATTGTGGGGGGAAAGTACAGTAGCGACAGTGTGGCACTTACGAAGCGATTTCATGCCTGTGATACTATCGGGGAGCATTCCAAAAAGCATAGAATTGGGGAGGATAAGAGTTTCTGTGGCAATGTGGCAGCAAGAAATGAACGTTAGAAATGCAAAAACTCAAGATATAGAAATATTGCTCACAGTTACTCACTCAATTTCTCAAGCATGTAAATTTCAGTTGGAAGGGTGCCATCAACTTTTTGATTCCGAAGCACAATATTCTCTCGAATGCCTTCACGGTTGCAAGCAGCACTTCCGTCCGCTGGAGGGAACCAGTTGCACTCATTGGAGTAGTCTAGTGCCAGGCGACGACGACGATTGTCCGACGTCTGCAAGGAGAATACACCCAATGCATAACGCTGGATCAAACGATCCTCGCTGTAGGAATAAAAGTCTGGGTCCGAAAGGAGCCAATCATAGACTTCCTTTTGAGGGCTCCCCGATCGTTCAATGTCAACCAAAACGTCAGGCGAAGCTCCTCCTAAAACCGTTTGGAATTTTTCTTCCTTGGTCATGGTTGGAGCTGGTGTAGGCGCTTGAGTTGGTGGTGCTGTCGTGGGCTTCATGGTTGGTGCAGATGTTGTGGGTGATTGAGTTGGTTGCGAAGTAGTGGGTGATTGAGTTGGAGAAGGCGATGGAGCCATAGAGGGCATCACCGATGGCGTGCGTGAGGGCATGCCGGTAGGTTTTCTGGTAGGATTTCCGGTTGGAGCGATGGATGGACTTCTTGAAGGCACGCTGGTAGGTGCTGAAGTCGTTGGAACCGTTCCTGTTGGCGCCATTGAAGAGAAAAATGAAGGACTGGATGTTGAAGGAGATGAGCTGGGAACTGATGTCGAAGGTGTTGAACTTGGAGATGCAGTTGTTGGTGTAAAAGAAGGAGATCCCGATACGGTTGGAGGCGAACTCCCTGCTTGTGTAGGTTTGAATGTCCAATCCTCCCAATCCCCAACTAACTGATCCCCAACAATTTGATCTTCATCAAATGCCCTTTGACTAGACTCAACTGACTCTTTTTCATCCTTAAGGTTCAGAAACCCTAGCGTGAGAGCAGTACTGGATCCGATCAAGAATAGGCCAAAGGCCGCTGCAATGAAGTACTTTAGTTTCTTGAACGACGATTTCTCGTCTACAATATCTCGCTTGAGACCTTCGTCGTCGCCATCATCGTTTGAGTATCCTTGGTAATTAAGTGAATTTGCGGGACCTGAGCGTTGCGCCTCTCCACTTTTCGTCTTGATGGCTATTAATGGAAATAGCTTTGTGATGCTTTGACGCCCTGACACCGTGTCGTTGGCAAGAGTACTGACATCATCAGTGTCACTACCATATGCCAGTTCTTCTGTGGGTCGATCGTCGTTTCCAGTGGAATCCGCGTCAGGATTATAAGCATAGGGTGCAGGTTGTGTGGTGTTATGGTATGATGGAGGAATTTGTGGAGGAATCTGTGACATCTGTGCCTTTTTCTCTTCCAAGCTGGCCATGGTCTGATCACCAAGGACACTAGTGTCCATGGCGATATTGTCGTAGTCAAAGTCGTCACTTCTTGAAGATTGGAATTCCATGATACAGGTATTTGATATTTTTGAAACAGTTTGTGGTTTACAGTTGCAGTTGCCTGCCGGAACTCTGAATTTACAATTTTGGGAGTCTCCGATCATCCGATCAGCTGACACGCATGCAATTTCACCGTTGACAACTCCAACAAGACTTCTTCGCGCGTTTCACAAACTACTGGAAGAATTTTGACACCGTTATGTCGCGCGCGAAGATTAATTTTGACGTTATTGTGTAAGGATTTGGCCATATTTCGAAAATTTTAACGCCGGGCGGGTGCTTTGAATTTATTTCATTGGATCTTTGTAAATCTCTAGCATTCATTGGATACCTCAAACTCACGAGTCTCTTGAAAAGCTTGGTAAGGGCCACCAGAATTATTGTTCCGAATGAGAAAGATCTTGTAATTTCCTTCTGAAAGTGGCCAGGTTGCAATTCCCTCTGATCCTGAGTCGAATCCTACTCTGGCAGATGAGGTGAGCTGTCTGCAAATCTGATCTCCACATGACCAGAGCCACAAGGTGGGAAAGTCTAAAGATTGTGGGTCAGCATTTGTAGGATACAGTCCGAAAAAATCATCACGCCGTGCATCGCAGTTGGCGAATTCAACTTCAATGGTTTCGCCTACATCATAGCATGACCGTCTTGCTACAAGAAAGTCATCGAACGAACATCGAGTGGGGCTCCCTGTTGGTGCAGGCGTTGCACCAGTAGGCTCAGGGGAAGGCCGAGGAGTTGGTGCTGGAGTCGGTCCAGGAGTTGGTGGAAGGGTTGGTTTTGGAACTGTTGGCGTTGGTGTTGGTCCAGGTGTAGGTGGCCGTGTTGGATTGCGAGTAGGGCTAGGTGTTGGTCGAAGGGTTGGAAATCGAGTAGGGGAACTCGAAGGTTCTGAAGTTGGTGGTGCAATACTTGGTGGCGCTGTAACGCCACTTTCACAACTAGTGCAGCAGGTGCAATCCACTTCTCCAAAACAGTCTGTTGAAAATGACTCAATCACCAAGGAGAAACAAATAATAGATGGAACCTCGCCTCTCAAAGCGTTTTCGCTCAGTTCAATCTTTCTCAGTGGTGAAATAAGTGCTATCTCTTCAGGTACTCTTCCAGTCAAATCATTGTTTCGAAGATCCAGCGACGCTACAAATGTACAACATATGTTTAGCTAAATGCAGCGGCAGCATGTAGTCATTACAGATCATACAGGTAGAACTTACTCAATCTCTCCAATTCACCTATTTCTTCAGGAATTGAACCTGAAAACTTGTTGGCAGTGAGAGCGAGACTCTCTGTACAACAAGCGAATATATGGTGTTAGTGCGTCATCGTCAACCGGAAAAAATAAATCTGTCGACGATCAGTTCTTACCTAAATTTCTGAGCTTCGAGATTTGCGAGGGAATGGTTCCTGTTATCATGTTGTGATTTAGCGCCAGCTCCTCTTTAACAATGAATATCAACTCCATAATGTCAGATGCGATTTGTAGAAAAGAGGTCAGAGATTTGCAGTGCTTACCGAGTTGTTGAAGAGAACCGATGCGACCATCTAGACGCCCATCCATGTCATTTCCAGAAAGAACAAGGCGCCGCAACGAAGTCAACAGATATAGTTCTGTCGGTATTCTCCCTTCCAAGTTTGCATTGTTGAAAACCAGGCTTCGTAGGACACCGTTTTCGTCGCATTCTGCCAGTCTGTCGTTCGACGAGACAGCCCAAGTACATTCATGCGTGTAATCCAACCAATTCGCAAACACATCTTCTTGCAGCGCACCATTGCTCCAGGTAGCTGGAGATAACGACATTGAAAACAATGCCAAGACCCATCTTTGAATAATACGGTCTTCGTCGTAGGTAAAGTAAAGATCGTCTTCGATGATCCATCGGAAAGCACTGTTTTGAAGCGTGTATGGATTAGAAATCTTGTCAACGGTCGAGGGTGAGACTCGAGATACGATTTCGGTAAAGTTTCCTCCTTTTGTGTATGTCGGTGAAGTGGACGGTGTCTGCGTGGGAATTGGCGTAACTGTAGGTGACATTGTGGGGCTTTTTGATGGTTGAACTGATGGTAGCCTGGTTGGCATTCTGGAGGGTGTCGGCGTAGGAAACTGTGTAGGCGAAGTAGACGGAGATGTAGTCGGTCCTTTTGTTGTTGGGGCGAAAGTTGGCGAAGCGGATACTGACGGTGCTGCACTTCCCTGTACTGTAGGCTTGAATGTCCAGTCAAAGCTGTCGAACTCTTCCGATTGTGTTGACAATTCAGATTTATCATTGCGGATGTTGGAGAGCATAACTCCACAAATTACCAGAGCCACAACAAGGAAGAAAGCCAAACATGCTGCAATTTTGTACTTTTGCCGCATTGATAACAAAGGTTGGTCAGAATCGCCCTCAGACCCAGATATATCATCCTGCTTATCAGGGATCTCAATGAAACCACGAAAGCCTGGAGGAGTCTCTGGAACAGTAGCCCTATCGTCGGACGAGTCATCTGAGTCCTTTGTGACCGGTTGCATATACGTTGTTGGTCTTTGCGGCGTTGTCGGGTTGGATTTATCCTCGACTTCTGTGCTCTCTTCGCTTTTCTGGGTCTCGTGTCTCTTTTCCACATTGCGTTTGCCGCGAAATTGGGTTGCAGAAGGAACCAATCCAGATATTTTACCAGAAAAAGAAACTGAACGTAACATACTGGTCGTTCGACTATTCTGCTTTGCGACTACACGCTCGCTCTTCCCTCGAGGAACTTCCGAAAGTATTTTCGTGACAGATCCTGAATCTTCTGACAGACTGTCCTCATTGCTTGCAATTGCTCCCTCTCCTTTCTTGTCTTTTTTAGTGAGTGGCACTGCCTTTGATAGAATCTTGCGAATGGAAGCAGTTGGAAGTATTCTCGAGATTCTTCCAGTCTCAGATGGCACTTTCTTGCTTTCTGCTTTCGATTCTCGATCGTCGTCTCCTTCTTCTTCAGCTTCAGTGGTGGGAGGAAGTGGGGCGTTTTCCAGCTGCGATTTGATTTCACATTTCTGCAAGTCATGCAAAATATCAAATTTATGAATAAGTGGGGCCTGACCTCCTGAAAGTGTCGAATCGTCTTCACTATCCACATCCTTTGAACGCGATTTGGATTTACCAATAACACCCTGTTCCATCAACATTTCACGCAAATATTCCTTCTCAAGTTGTTCCATATCATCCCCTAGCGAAACCTCCTGTCCAGTAGATACAGAGGACGGCAGGGATGGGGCTGCTGAAGACATTTTTACAAAGCTGGTGTACGTACAGTGATGTTGCTTGTTTGTTGGACCCTCAACTACTTCCGTCGAAATTGTCGGCGTCGGTTTATGTGAGCTGAATGTCATTCCGATAGTTCGGGTCTTGCGTCCAAACAACGGAAAATCTACTTATTGTCACATATGAGATCTTCGAATCTCGTGTTAAACGCAAGGATATGCCGGCTCGTCTGTTCAGTGGTTTCGACTGTGAAAATTTGACTGGCTCTAGATATCAAATTTTTGGTCGTAAATATCATGGCATATCTTTTTTTGCTGGCCGTGCTTTCACTGTTCAGTTTAAAAGGTTGGTTCTGGAACATTCTGAAGATTCTAAAAAAAGGAGTAGTACTACTGCGCAACTTGATAGAAAGAAACTTCCAAGGATGCAAGAAGGAATATACTAGTACATGATCTCTTCTACCAATAAAGAAGAGTTACAAGACCGCTTCTATGTGTGAGTGCTAAGCTAACAGCTATCGGCAACAGTAAAAGTCTCGGTGGCAGCATAGGCAAAGAATGGTCCAGAAGCACCTCCATCACGGAACATCCACGCTTTGTAACTGCCCGACTTCAAAGGCCACCTTTCTGTACCCCCACTAGAGCCGTCAAACGATAAGAAACCATCCGTAGTTGCACGGAAACAACCTTGTGAACCACACGAGTATTCCCACATCATTGGGTTGTTCAACTCATAAGCAAGACTTCCAGAATCGTAAATTCCGACCCAGTCATTTCCAACTGGGAGACAGTTCTTAAAGCTAAAATTGATATCTTCTCCTCTTGTGAAGCACGTCTTGGTTGTCGCAATTCTATCCCAACACTGTTCGGGTGTCGGTTCAGGGGTGGGGTACGGTGTAGGAAGAGGGGTCGGTCGTTGTGTCGATGGTGCCGCAGAAGTTGAAGGAAAGCTTGTTGGGGATACACTCGGTGCTGGGACTGGAGTTGGAGCCGGGGTACCAACAGACTCACAGTTGGTACAGCAAGAACAGAAGATATCTTCGCAATCCGCTTCAAGACTATCGAGTTCAAAAGAACACAAGTCAGCTGGCATGAACCCATTCAAGTCGGTATCGGTTAGTTTCACTTCGGCCAGCAACTTCAAGCGATCCATTGGAGGGACAGTTCCGGTCAAGGCATTAGCGCTAAGATCGAGGTTGATTAGGTCTTCCAAATTGGAGATGCCTGCGGGGATGGATCCGCTCAGCTGGTTGTTATTCATCTTCAGAGTTTCTATAGGACGAGAAAGTGGCATTGTTAGAACAAAGTCCCAGTAAAATTTCCACTCACAAGATAACATGGCACTTACGAGACTTTATCGGCAATTCTGGAATTTGTCCAGTCAGCTGGTTATTTCCCAAATCCAAGACAATCAAGCCTTCCATCTGCCCCAAAGTTGCGGGGATCGTTCCTTGTACTTGATTCGATCTGATCTCAAAATTTTCCAAGAATGTTAGCCCTGACCCCAACTCCTCTGGGATGGTACCGATGATGTTATTGTCGGACAATACAATGGTATCAAGTCTTGTCATGAGCGCCAATTCCGATGGGATCGTTCCGTCCAAGCCAATGTTTCGCAGGACCAAGAACTTGAATGATCCTGTAGCATCACAAGGCACACGATTCTCATACCACGAAGTGAACCAGGCACATTCATCCGTGTATTTCATCCAAGTCTCCAGTGCCTCGTTCAAGCGTCGATCGGAAAGACGGCGACGACTACTGGCAATTTCCAAAGAAAACAAGGCAAGAGCCCATCTTTGAACAACCTTGTATTCATTGTAAGTAAAGTAGTCAGGGTCGTTGACCAACCAGTCAAAGGCTTCCTTTTGCTTGGTATCATCGGTTTCAATGTTTGCCAGAATCGAGGGGGAAATGTCGCCCAGGATTTGTTTCAAACTGGTACTCGCCGAAATAGTTGGTACAAGTGATGGTGTCATTGTTGGACGGCCACTGGGTTGCCCAGTTGGTGGCCGGGTGGGAGTCGTAGGTTGTGGAATCACTCCTTCGGGTTTGGTCGGTGCCATAGTGGGCGCAGCGGGGGCTGCGGTGACCATGGGTGTTGGTCGAAGAGTAAAATTCAGGCCTCTATCTTCATCGACTGGAGCCGACAATGAATTGAGATCTCGAACTTTCAGGAATCCATAGCTCAAGGCACCAATGGCAGCCAGTAAAAATACTGCAAGAATGGAAGCGTACAAGTACTTCTTTCCGCTCCACCTTCTGGGTTGGGAATCAACGTGCATTGGCAACTCTCGATTCTTTGACGAATTGGGAATTTGAATGGTACCGCCAAATCCCGCTGGAATCTCTTCTCCCTGAGTGTTGGTACTCTGTTGACGTTCGGGAGAAACCGCTCCATTACGAAAGAAATTAAATACGGAACCAGTAATACTCCCATTCAATGTGTCGTTTGCAATCGTACTGACATCATCAGGAATTCCCAAAATGGCCATTTCTGTAGGGGGAGGTTTCGATTCATTCGGATCTCGATAGTAGGAAGGAGGTGGGTATTCAGCTGGAGGCTTGGTAGCTGCTTCCGGAGGGAAATAGGCGGCTGTAAAAGAACCAACCGAGGTTTCTCGTGGCATGGATGCGTGGGAACTAGATCTGGGCGCGTTTGGGTTTCCCACGTTGCCCATGGAAGGAATAATGTTTGCAGACGACTCTTCACCATCTGAAAAATCTTCTTGTGTTACCCGTGGTGCCAAGCTGGATCGGGCCTTCTCGACACGTCCCACCAAGCTGGCAAGAGACTGATCATCGTGTGTTCCAAGTAGATTGCTCATTCTCGTCGTGTTTTCTTTTCGTTGAATTCAAATCGATCAGTTCTTTCAAGCAAGTGGGTGTCGACTTTTGTGAAAGGTTTGTGTGAAGCAATGCAGAGGAAGACTGGCGAAGTAGGATGTACTCTCTGTTAAAACGATTGGTTTGCTGCAAGAATGTCGAGAGTTGATACGAGTGTCTTGGTTATTGTGAAGTAAGAATCAATCAGTTTCACAAAACGAAACTGACCTCAACGAACGGAACAATATTAGTCTAAACAATTCAGCTAAATTTGTCTTGACTAGATTTTTATACCAGTCTAGCGTCTGCCGTCGACAAAAGCGTATGTGCAAACCATATTTAATTTTGTTTTTGAATATGTGAAGCCAGCCACGATCGGATCAGCTCCGAAACGGCTGGCTTTGTCGGATGCAAAACTGAATTCGATTTCACGAACGTACTGTAGTCGATGTGGTCCAATATTCAAACCCAAACCCAAACAATAATCGGGCACACGACAGCCGACAGCAATCACAAAACCACGAACATACTAGTGTTGTTGATTGCCCAAAAGTAGTATAATACATCATGGCGAAGCATCATCCAGATCTTGTAATGTGTCGTAAGCAGCCAGGGATTGCCATCGGTCGTCTCTGCGAAAAATGTGAGTTTTTTAAAAACTGAATCAATCAATCAATCGATCAATCAATCCTGTTGATGTTTGCATTGCAATCATTCATTCATTCAATACATCACTCACTCACGTTTCTTTCCGTCGTTTAGGCGCCGCAAAATGTGTCGTTTGCGATTCCTTTGTCAACTTGACAACCTTGGTTCATATTTGCGATGACTGTAATTATGGGAGTCACGAAGGGCGTTGTGTCGTATGTGGAGCTCCTGGAGTAACCGATGCGTATTATTGCACCCAGTGTACCATGCTAGAACAGGATCGAGATGGGTGTCCGAAGATTGTGAATTTAGGATCGACCAAGATGGATCTGTTTTACGAACGCAAGAAATATGGATTCAAAAAGCGGTAGCATTGGCTTTGGCTGTTGCAAATGTTTCGATCGATTGAAAATTCAATTGTGGGTGGGATTGAATAATACAATCAATCGTATGCAACAGCGCAGGCTGCATTACCTTAAGCTTGCAAGTATAATAGGTGATGGTGAGAATCAAAGTGCAGATAGTGCATGGGAATTTTGGAGATCAGATAATCACTAGCTTTTAATCTTATATTTTAACATTGAAGTATTTATGGAATGTTTCTAATGAATGTATGTTGCAATCATCTCTAGTTGGAATCCAAAAAGTGTGAAATCTAAGGTGTGATAACTGTGGCCGCTGTTGGGGTAGAAGTCACTGGTGACGCAGTTGGAGCAGAGGTTATTGGCGCAGCGGTCGGGGCAGACGTAACAGGAACAACGGTCGGAGCGGCGGTGACGGGAGCAACTGTCGGGGCAGATGTAACTGGTGCCACTGATGGTGCTGCTGTCACAGGGGCAACTGTCGGGGCAGAGGTTATTGGTACAGCAGCCACTGGAGCCGCTGTCGGTGCTGTTGTGACAGGAGCCACCGTTGGTGCAGAAGTAATTGGCGTAGCAGTCGGGGCAGAAGTCACTGGAGCGACTGTGGGGGCCGAAGTTATAGGAGCCACTGTTGGTGCTGCTGTGACAGGGGAAACCGTTGGAGAAGAAGTGAGCGGCGCAGCAGTCGGGACAGGGGTAGCTGGAGCCGCTGTTGGGGCAGCCGTCACTGGGGAAACTGTTGGAGAGGAGGTTATTGGCGCGGCAGTTGGTGCAGAAGTGACTGGTGCAATAGTCGGCGCAGGGGTCACTGGGGAAACTGTTGGCGAAGAGGTAATTGGCACAACAGTCGGGGTAGGTGTTACGACCTGCGTGTTGGTCGGATTCAAGGAGGTGAATTTTGTTCCTTCATAAGCTGGTGAAGGTTGTGTGCTCGGCATTTCCAAAACCCCGATACAGCCCACATTATCCACGCAGCAATCGGTGCAACAAGGGCAAGAAACTTCCTCACAGTCAGCCGCGAGTTGAACTCGGGGGCTTCTTGAGCAAAAATCAGAAGGGAGATTTCCCACCACACCATTTCTCTCGATTTTGAGGCTAGTCAATGCTGACAAGGAATCAAATGAAGCTGGTACGTCGCCATTTAGTCGGTTGTAAGAGAGATCCAATCGTTCTGCAAGAATATCAAACAATGAGTCGAACCATACAAAGCAACTATAGTGGAAACGTATGTACCAAACACTTACCAATTGCCGCCATGCCAGCAAATTCAGAGGGAATTCTTCCTGTTAGATCGTTTGCGTTCAAAGCCAATTCCGCTTTTAATTGTGGAACAAGACGAATGTTAGAAAACCAATTGGAAAAAATCCAAAATGAGATCATTGCCTTACTCAATTGCGACAAGCTTCCAAGTTGAGTTGGCAAACTACCAGAAATTCGGTTTCCATTCAGTTTGAGCGATCTCAAATTTGTGAGGAGACCGAGGTTGGGAGGTAGCCCGCCTTCAATATTGTTGTTGTCAAGTCGAAGGTCTGTCAAATTTGAAGCAAGTGATATTTCCATTGGTATTGTTCCCCGGAGATTATTGGAACTCAAAACGATCCCAGTTATTCGGCCATCAACGTTGCATGAAATACCATTCCATCCGCATTCATTGAAATTTGACAACCAAAAGTTGGAATTTGCCCAAAGCTCACCACCAAAGGAGTAATAGCTAGTGACTGCAGTCCACCTTTGAAGCAAATCCGCATCGGACGAGCTTGCGACGTTTGCATCATTTTGCGTTATCCAACTGAGAGCTCTGTACTGTGGAGAAGTTATATCCGCAAGTGATTGCTCTGATTGAGGCGCTCCGCCTATCAAACGAGCAAGTGTCGCTGATAGTAGTGATGCGCTTGTTGGAGGTGGAGTTTGCAAGACTGGGGATGCTGTTGGGGTTGAAGTTTGCAAGACTGGAGCTGGTGTTGGTGGTGGTGTTGGTGGTGGTGTTGGCGGTGGTGTTGGTGGGGGTGTAGGCCCTGGTGTAGGCCCTGGTGTTGGTGGCGGTGTTGGCGGTGGCGTAGGCCCTGGTGTTGGCGGTGGCGTTGGTTGCTTGGTTGGATTTTGTGTAGGAAATGTCGTTGGAGCGGGAGTTCGCCGTACCGTTGGTCTAGATGTTGTCGGTGGTCCACGCGTTGGAGCGGCCGTTGGTTGTCTTGTGAATCTCGTAGGTGAAGATGAAATTGTAGGCGGCACAAACTCCATGGTAGGAACCAGCGACGGAAATACGCTTGGCGCAGATGTAGGATTCCAGATGGGAGGAAATGTCACAGGTGCTGCTGACGATGCTGTATTGGATTTTGAAGATACTTGATCTTGCTTGTCGCTTTCCTGAATGATCAGAATCAGCATAGCAATTGCAGCACCAACAGCCAGAACGAGAATAACCAGAGCCAACTTGAGGAAAAGAAGCCTGTTATTCCGTCTTTGACTATTCCCCTCCGGGCCCTTATCACCAGACTCTAGATCTTGCGCTGGATTGCCACCACACAAATAAATGAATCCTGGAGGTGGCGGTTTTTCACCTCCAGCAGCGTCATCGGCGTTAGCTCTGTCTACCAGATCTCGAGGCTTGGCCGCCGAAGGGTTCGACAACGTACTAGCCATTGCACTATTCCCAGCATTGGGTGGCCAAGGGGCAATAAAATCATTCGAATCATCTTCAGACATGCTCCTCACCTTTGCCATGTTCTCTGGATCTCCTCTTTCAGGCGACGTTTTTTGTTCTGGCTGCACAGTTCCAGTTCTCACCAAGCCATAGGTTGCTCCAAGACCACTCGCCACGGCGAGATTGGAGATGTTGCTATCCTGCTCTTGGTCCTTGGTCGTAATGATTTGTCTGGGAGGAGAATTATTGTTTCGAGGAGGCTGTCTCGCTGGAGCAGTTGAGCTGGCATTCCCCGTTTTCGAAAAGCCGTAGGAATCAGACATCTTGCTACCGCCAGATGGACTTCTCCGATGAGGACTAATTGGAGGCCTGCCCGACAAAGGACCTGAAATGGTTTCCCTGTTGTCAGCAGGTGGAGTTTCTTTCGGTAGAATTTCAGGCATCGGAGTTTCCACATTCGACTTGGGCACGCTGCCTCTTTCATAGGATTGTGACAACAAGGTTGTCCATTGACCACCAGAAGAGCCCGGATTCCTAGATTTACGAGGAGACTTATTGGATATCGGCATTGTATCACTCTTCACGAAGCCATACGAATCCGACATTTCACTCCTTTTGCTGTTTTCTTTATCAGAAGAAGGCACTGGCACCACACTTCGTTCAGGCTCTGATCTTTGCAAATGCGACCCCTGCATGGTACTTGCCACACTCGCACTTCTCAAACTGTTTTCCACTCCACTAGCGGCGGCGAAACCATAAGAGTCTGTGGTGGTAGAAGCCCCAGCTGCTGGTTGCATGGGTCGTCTGTTGGCTATGACAGGAGTGGGAGCAGCGCTAGCAATCGGTACGTTGACTGGAATCGTCCTGGATCTATTAAAACCATACGAATCTGTCATACTTGTAACATCTGCTGGTTCCATTGGTGGTCTGTTCGCAATCACGGGGGTTTCAGCAACGGCGTCAACGTCATCTGGCTTGGTCACTGGCATTGTTCTGGTTCTGTTAAATCCATACGAATCAGTGTTACTTCTTAAATCGTGGTCAAACGAAGCCACAGTTGCATCCGTTGTCGTATAAACTGTGCCAGTGGATTTGCTGAAACCATATGAATCTGCACTACTACGAACATCAGGTTCCACATCTCCGTTTGGATCAACGATTACAGGTTTCCGGCTGGTATGACTTCCCGACTTCGTACTCGCACCGCCAAATCCAAGCGAATCTGTAGTGCTATCATTCATATCGGGTTCGGCAGAGCTCATGGCTCCACCTGCTGCAATGTGGTCCGGGTGATGCGACATGCTCATTCCAAGTGACGATTCAGTAGTGCTGTGTGTATCCTGTTCCATGACGCTCCTAGGAACCACGGAGTATGTGGTACCGTTCGATTTGATTCCAGTCAAATCGCTGGTTCTACTAAAGTCACCAGAATCGGTAGTTCTGTGATGCGAGGCATCGTTCTTTCCACCAGTTGGTACATGTGGCGAGTTGTGACTGCGGAATGCCTCTTTTGCGTTCTTCAAATTTTGTTCCATGTCTGCATTTCCTACACCAATGGATTCTGGGTATGCACGAGCACTCATTTTGATCCCAGTCAGGTCGCTGGATCCACTAGAACTACCATGCTCAGAAGCAGTATAGGGTCCCGTCGTCCTTGCCGGTTTCGCCATGCCACTGGCATGACTAAATCCAAGCGAATCTGTGGTACTCTGAACATCAGGATCCCTTAATCTTCTACTCGTGGATGTCGATTGGGAAGCACTGTTACTGTTGGTGCTCTTGCTTCCTGCAACGCTAAATCCCATCGAATCAGTAGTACTCCGACCGCCATGCTGCGAAGGAACCGTGTATGCCAAGGATGAATCAGAAGCATCCCAGCCGTTCCGCCCCGGTGATTGACCTCCAGTAGCCCCTCCCAGTCGAGATCTCTTGTCCCCATATTGATCAGCTGGACCACCCCAACTCAAACCATCGCCAAATTCATTTTTAGGTTCCGAATTCATGACAGTTGGAGTATCCATCATACCAGCGAGGGTACTGTCGCCCATCACGCTGTCCGATTCTATCGCTCCCGTTTGTTGCATGGATCTGAAATAAGCATCTTCTGGATCGTCACTCCAGATGAGAGCGGAATCGTATCCGGAGTTGTAGCCATCTTCTTCCGCCATTGTCGTAGAAAATGGGAAATTTGAAGACGAAATTTTGCGGGAAAAAATTCCCAGAGTAAAAAAACTGTCAACATTCGAACGGAAAACAAATAACATGTGCTTCATCAAATATTCATCTCGACCATAATTGAATTGCGCGAGCCAGGTTTCCTGGCCACTATCATTGGTCGTCGTTCAATTTGATCAGGTCGTGTCCAGTGTCCAAACAAGATGGTCAACTGGAACCACTCAAGCAAGTATTCATTCTCTCTGCTCACTCCGACACCTCTTGAGGCATGCTCTGTAGATGACGCATAGCGCAAAGTTAATAATCTCAGTTTTGTAGGGACTCTGATTCTACCTAGAAAGGACAAATTTCAAGATGGCAGTAGTTTCTTCAACTGAGGAGAATGCCTAAAAAGTTGTTGGTCAGTTTTTATTATTTTTCATAATTTATACTTTTGAAAGTTGACCTGTTGGTCTATAGTATGAATACTCGTATCGTAGAGTAGCTCATCGTATTCTTCTCTCAAACAAAAGCAAAAAGATATCTGAATATCCACTCGGTTGAGTCGAAACAAGTCAAACTTCAACTCACTTCACGTCCACAAACATCAAACATCGTTTCCTGCTGCTATCTTCAATTGCAATGAAAGTTTCAGCTGCGTCTCTCCTGATACCATGTCTGACTGTGGATGCATTTGCTCCAAACACGTTGTCTGGTCCAAAATTTACACAACTGGCGATGCAACATAACACAAACGACAACAACCTTCCGATGAAATCTGCATTCACATCAGCAATGCTTGGATTGGTACTTTCTTCCGCCAGCGTGTTTGGTGGTTCCGCCGCGCTTGCAGCCGATCCCGCGCAATATGATGGTTTTGCGGAATATGCTAAGGAGAATAAAATGGAGCAATCTGATGTTGGATGCTTTGTGCAGAAATGTGGGGATCAAACAAAGGCGCTGTTCTCCAACCCACGAGGGATCAAAGGTGTCACTTGCCTCGGACGATGCAAGGGTGAACAAGCATGTGCGACCAGGTGTTTTGCCGAATACGGTAGTGAAGATCTAAACAATTGGCTCTCTTGTACTATTGAAGAAAACGAATGCGTCAAGGTACCAAAGAATGTGGATAACTCGGCGGAGAACGTTGGCTACACGGCGGTAGTCCGAAAGTTTGATCCTAAATCACTGGTTGGCACATGGTATAAAAGTAAGTTTCCGCTTCCGATTGTCGCATATTTTCAAGGATCCGAACAATGCTTACGCTTGATTTTCGTCTGCAGCTGATGGATTGAATCCCAACTACGATAAGTTTGACTGCCAAACGAATACATTTACATCTTCGGCGCCTGATTCCTCGGAACTAGATATGGGCATTTTCTTTAGAGTTCAAAGACCTGAGGAAGCTGGAGGTGGTTTCTGGGAGAATTCTCTCACTGAGCACATGGTGGTTGATTCGTTACTCTCCGATGCTTCACCTGCTGAAAGGACGATGCATACGGAGGGGAAAATGTATGGGCTTCAGTTTGATGAGAATTGGTATATTATAGGTGAATCGGATGGCAAAGGCGAGGTCCCTCCCTTTGTTTTGGTAGCTTACAAGGGTCACACCTTGCAAGGAAACTATGAAGGTTCATTTGTCTACTCTAAGGAGCCCAAGCTCCCAGAAGCAGCAATCCCCGCAGTTAGAGAGGCTGCTAACAAGGCTGGTTTGAATTGGGACGATTACTTTCGCATTGACAACACATGGTAGGTTTGATGGATTCTCGAAAAGTGCATATCAATATTCATCTCTCACTTACTTCAATTGCAGTCCCGTCGGCGAGCCTCTGAATGACTCAAAAGCAGGCACTGGAACTTCGACAACCGACTGGATAGTAAGTATCTCTCTATTTTTTATTTTTCCTATTGGTTTCAAGATCAGAGTCTCACACACTTGCTTCCAAATAGGACTTGGTCGTTGGTGAGGGTGGTGTAATTGATTGGATTTCGCCGGGATGGAGAGGCGAGTACAAGAAATAAGTCAAATGCAGCCTCAGTGACGGCAATTCACGTAATTCTCCTGACGAGAAGCAATAGAAAAAAGTGCTGCCTTTCGTCTTAAAGAGGGAGCCGAAAATAGAGCTACTAGACTATTTGTTTACACTTGAATACTGAGTCTCGGTCTCTAGTTTCATCCGGATAGTCACTTCTTACCAGACTTTGATTTGGGCTTTTTGCTGCTATCTTTTGACTTTGATTTCTTACTGCTCTCTGTATCGTTCATACTTAATCCTCCCATTGCTTCGTCAAAGTTGGATGTACCGGATTTGAAGGGATCGTCACCACCGCCCCCGTCACCGAAACCACTGTCGAAAGCTGTATCAAATGTCGCTTCGAATTCGTTGTTGGCATCATTTGTGCCAGCGTCAAAAGGAGAGTCGAAGAATCCATCACCTTTATCTTCAAATCCACCAAAGTCAGCAGCGAAAGCGAAATCTTGATCCTTTCCAAAATCAGCTTCTGCTTCTTGGGGCTTTGGGTCTGTTCCAGATGCTGCTGCACGCTTTCTTCTTGCCGCAACAGAGTTTGAAGCAAGTTTCTTTCCTTCTGTTGCCTTTGTTGGGTCGTATACAGCCTCTTGGACACCTTGTCCATCCGTCCGGAAAGTTCCTATTCGTTCTTCGTCGGTTGCTTCTGTCGTTTTCGATTCGATCGGTTTCTCTGCCTTGCTCTTACTCGGCTCTTTGTTTTTCTTCTTCTTTCGTGGGGGCAACGGTCTTCCAGAATACACAGCCGATAGACATAGGATAACTTCAGTCATATCCGCTCGTTCTTTAGAATCAGAGGCGAGCATGCGGTCCAATAATTCTACGAGACCATCACCATATGGATTATCTTCCGGAATTGTATACTTCCCGGACAGAATCGCTAGATTTGAACCTTCTTCAAAGCAGTTTTTCAGGAAGGCCAAAGAGTATAAACAGCATCCCAATGCCCATACATCAGTCCTGCAAGATTCAGCATAGATATTAGGATCACCGTTTTCGTCAGACATATTTAGAGCAAACAACAGAACTTACGCTTGAGTCAGCTTCTTCGCCATATAGAGATCAACCATCTCCGGAGCTCGAAACATTTGTGTAGTTGTCTTCTGGATTACCTCCTCTTGTTCCGCCTTTGCTTTTGCAGATTTCAAATCAACATGACCGAAGACAGCTGAACCAAAATCACATAACTTGTAGGCCCCATTTTTGACAAGGAAATTCACAGGCTTTAAATCTCTGTGCACGACTGGCGGTCTTTGGGCATGCAAGTAACTCACAGCGTTACAAATTTGACCAAATGCAATGACTAATGTGCTCAGATCAAACCTTTCCCCAGCTGCAGCAAGTCGATTACAAACACCTAGCGCATGTCCACCTTCACAGTATTCCATCAAGATCAAGTGCTGCGGTCTTTCCTTCTTGGACCCTTCCTTCTTCACGTCATTGTGCGCGATTGAAGCATAGCAGTTGTCGTATATCTTAATGATAGAGGGATGTGATAACTTCATCAGCAACTTGGCTTCTTTTTCTGCAATATCTCGCTGTGATCTCGAGTGAATTGATGTAACTTTGAGTACCATTTGTGGCTCCTGGTTTCCATTCTCATCCGTGGAGTCTGCCAAGTAAACATAGGAGAAACCACCTTCCAATTTTCATGAAGAACCACCGAGCCTCAAAGCCTTGAGATATGGTCGACAAACACAGAGACAGCCAATTTAACACTGCGGTCTTACCTTCATCTAGCAGACTGTTGACGGTAATATTTCGTTTTCCAACGACAACTTTATCGCCGACTATGTGTTCTCCAAGTCCACCATCGGTCGCTGGCATGGTTGTGCAATTATAAAGTCAATCCCCACCTGGTAACAAAGTAAACTATTGTCGGTCACACCAAAAGTGATTATGTTCCGTTGGCCTCAAATCTTGAGCAATAGGTCGGAAAAAAATTTGGCGGAGCAATCGGAAATCTTTCGCTGAAACAAAAAAGAACCGTCGGCAATACAGTAGTATGATGACAAGTCCTTCTTGCACAAGATGTTCGTTCTATCTCCACTTTACTACGTCTCTGTTTCCGAAACACCTCACGACGGGCTCTACTTCAGTTTTGTACGGACGCCTGCCCATCTGGGACTACTTTAGGCGAAATGGAGGTTTCGTGAGCATCAATATTGAGAGTATTGTAGATTGTACTGTAGGTATTCTTAATAATTAAAAATAGCGACCCATGATATCCTACAGTATACTTGTAGATCATATTTTCTTGAATTGAACCTAACCTAAGTTATCTTACTGAACAAAATCACGACGATGTAGCATGTGACATATTATTTTCCTTCTCGTCGAAAATTAATCAGTCCTCCTTCACTCTGCTTTTTTGTCACCAAAGTCCAAGCCACCCCGTTTGATAATTTCAACCCAGTAGCCATCAGGATCGAGTGCAAATGCGAGCCCTTTCATTGACCCGCCATCCGGTTCCTGTGAAGAAAAGAGAGACATTGTTAGACTACACGATTGCAAGCTGACTCCACTGTTTTAAATCGCCCAACAAACCTTTTGGAATCCAAAACCCATTTCTCGGATTCCATCACAAGCTTTGTACACATCATCAACTAAGAATCCAATATGACCGAAACCTTTCCTTTCGTCTTCGTTGCCAGTGAAGTGCTTGAACGAATCATCGCTTTCAGTGCCATGATTATGTGTTAGTTCCAAAACAGGCTGGAAGAGCTCTTTCACTTTGGAATCACCTTCTACAACAGAAGATCCTAGAAAGTACAAGCTGAAATCAGAAAAGTGCCTTTCTTCCAACACCTTCATTCCCATCTTCTTGTAGAAGGCAAGGCTCTTCTTGGGATCTTTCACCCGCAGCATAGTCTGGGAGAAGTTGCACTCGTTTGGAATCTTAGCATCTTCTGATCTCCTCACAATTTCAACCCAGTAACCATCCGGATCATATACAAAAGCGAGTCCCTTCATGCGACCCTCATCAGGCTTCTTCTTGAACGAACAACCAGCCGCCTCCAGTTTGGCCGACATGGCATAAACATCGTCAGTGTTGACAGCAATATGCCCAAAACCATCCTTGTCTTTGTTTCCATTATGATATGAAAACTCTGCATCATCTTCAGTTCCATGATTGTGAGTCAATTCGAGCGCCACTCCTTCCATGCTCCACAAATAATCATGGGCCTCTTGGGTTCCAGGCGTCAGCTCGTACTTTTCGCCTTCTGGAAGAGTGGTCAGAAAGTAGAGACTGAACTTGTATTGTGGAAAATCAAGCTTATCAATCAATGTGAAACCGAGCAAATCGGTGTAGAAGGGAATGGACTTTTCTGGATTCTTGATCCGAAGCATCGTCTGTTGCCATGTTGGCCGTCCTGGAATGATATCACTCGTTGACATCTTGCGATAAAGTACTCCTGCTCGGACTGTTAAATGTTGACAATGAAGAGAAGATTTTGTTACACCAAAGGCAGCAGTGCGATGTAAATAGAGAAGCGATAGACCAAGAGTCTGGGTACGACAAAGAAACATCGTGAGCTTTCTCGTCACTCGCAACGAGAACAGGATCCTGTGAGGAATACGCCCTCCGACCGCAATCCGTGAAAGGCCTTTTTCAGGCCCACCCGAAGGCAATTCTTCATTCATTCATTCTACCTATTCGGAGTTGCAGTACACATGTACCGATAAAGTGAGATCATCCCACTCCTACAATGTACTTGAGTGGAGATAGGAACCACGCACATTGATCTCATAGGAAAATCGTAACACTCCTTGAGCGGAGATGGCGAATACTACTAGCATACATACATATTACTTACTACCTTGCTTCACTTCAGCCATTTCAAACATGGACAAAAAAAACTATTGTAAGGCTACCTACTACTATAGAAAGAACCCGAATTTTATTCGATAACCACTGTTTTATCTAGTTTAGTTCTGCTAATGTTCATATGAATGGAACATAGCCTATCGCCCAGGTATCCCTTTTGAAGGATGTGGATTATGAGTGTGATAAATCAAGATCGGTGGACGCTTCAACCTGACCACGACCTATATTGTATTCCCTTTTGTTGATATTGAAACATGCGATGAAGAAATATTGTTGCGCTTCCAAAAGGCACCAATTTCTGTCGTTTTTGTAAGCTAGCTAGCCGCACGAGCCACATCAGTATGTGTCTCAATGCATCAACTGCCAATGGATCCCCTTAAAAGTCACCGTTGAGTGCCATGTTCGCAACACCGCCATACCGACTGCTGGTGTACTTTTTGTTTACTGCCCGTAGCTCAGGCGAAGACGAGGTCTTCTCAGCAAGGACGGCCCTAGCGATCGGTGTGATCTCCTCTTCACGATAGTTGGCATACTTTAGAAGGGTAGGACTCCACGAATTACGTCCGACGGTACGGCGTGCGAGAAAGACTGCAGCAGCAGCAAGTTGACTGGGCAAGTAGTGGAGTAAGTTGTAGCTTTGAAGGGTGCCATCCAAAATGTAGCAAGAAAGTTGAACAATGCGTTTGTCAGCATGGGCAGCTTTGAGGTATCGAACCAAGAATGCATGGGCACTGGGAATGGTGATGTTGTATTCAAGAGTTTTCAAAATCTTTTCCTCCATCTCGATAATCTAAAAAGAAATAGCCAAATGAAAAGTGTAAGTTGATGTTGGGGAAACCAAACGAAAAGTTGACGGAGCATGGATGCTTACCTCAGAACGGGTGTAGGCTCTGTCACAAATGTAGACCAAGTCTCTAAGTTCTGGTGGATAGATCTCCTCGTACTTGGAAGCAATGAGAAGGGATGTGACTCCGACGAGTTGTAGCTTTGGTCGCGAAACTTCTTGTCTTTCAAGGTAACGGTCAATAAGGTTGGCGGTGAGGTAAAGTGTCTCTGGAACAAGTTTGAATTTGAGGTGAACTTCGACTAGCCAATCGACAAGGATGGAACGCATACGTTCGTTGATGTGAGGTTGGTTCTCCATGAATACTGGGCGGACTGAAGTGAGAGCTTCCTTTCCACGAAAGTGCTGGTACATGTCCTGGACGTAATCGGTAGCGCAAAGCGGATCCTCGGCATCCCGCTCATCAATGTTGTCAGCTGGTCCATATTGGTAGCTAGATGGGTTGGATGGGTCTGTGATGGTTCTAGTCATACGGTTGAGTCCGAGTGCCGGGGGGTTTGTTGTGTTGGTGGGATTACGGTGTTCAATCACAAAAGGTTGTTGATGAAAGTTGTTTTGTCTGGGGACGTAAGCATCGGTTCGGGCCCCTCTCTTTTCTGGAAGGACGTTTTGACCAGGCTTTCCGCCAACATTGGCTTGTTGGTTTGCATTTGTGAGGTCCTAGTTGGATGAACAAATGAAAGCTGTGGTGAGTTTGATGTGAAGTCGAGTAAAAGAAACCGAATCGTCTGGTGATGAACTTACTCTGAAAGCACCCCGACTGCGGGTGTTTCCAGCAACGTTGTTGTTGGAAGAACGAGTGAACATAGTAGTAATAGTTGTTGTGTAGTTTGTGGAAGATGTGCAAGTCTGGAACCTATTGTCACTTGTGTTGTGATGAGTTGCAATGAGTGTTGGTGAGTTGCAAGCCGTTGCGATTGTCCAAAATGTGAGTCTGAAGTCTATGGCGATACTCCCCTCAACGCCCCCGGATGTGTGTTGTCTGTTGATGGTTTTCGACGGCGATATGGGTTTCGGCGATTGAGTGTTTTGAAATGCGGCTCAAATTGGGCCCTGTGTGACTTCAAACCATTTTACTTAATGCAGCGTCCGTTTTGATATCTTTTTCGCTTAATGCAGATACAAATCAGGGCGAAAAAATCACAGGAGCATTAAGTGATTTCACTGCCAGACGACAAACGGCCACCGAGGGTGAAAAGGTGGTTTGGAGCTCCGCTGGCGTTCCATTTTCGATTTCCGTTTATACTTGTATACAAAATGGATGAATTTGGGTATATCTGCGCCCGGCGTACTCCAACGATTACGGACAAGTATACGCCAGTACGGTAAATATTATTATACGAAACGAGTATGTATAATTAAACTTGAATGTACTACATCTTCACACCTGAAAGTAGAAATGAGCACACGCCCTTCTGGGCTTAAAACTGTCTCAATCTTCAATCTTCTCCAGTTCACATAACGCCAACTCACGACTGACGGTGGACGGACATGTTTCAAAGTGGGTGTGGTGTGACGTATCTCCACGTACCAGGTACTCTCCGCGGTGATAAATGACAAGTCTCCCTCCACTGTGCCTTGTCATCATTGTAAAGTTGTTCTACTCGGTAGCATAATAGAGGAACGGCCCCACGATGTTGTCAGAATTGGAACTCCCCGAGTTCCTAATCAACGCCATCGATGCTAGCATCCAACACATTTATTCTTATGGTCCCATGGCCGAGAAGACAGTTGTTCTTGGTACGTTTCAATCATCATTGAATCCTCGTACTGTGTCGCTGGATGGATACTCATTCGTTCTTCTTCTTCTTTGCATTATCTAGTTCCCGAAGTGTTGAGTAGCCAAGTCGGAAATGTTGCGGATGCAATTGGCATGGACACGGAGACTGTTTCCTACGTTCTTGGAATGTTCCTGTGTTACCCTCTCGGTCTTATCATGTTGGCCATTCCTCACGGAAAGGCTCGTCACCTGTTCTCTTTTTTGCTTGGAGCATTCCTTTTGCAATTTACCCTGGGCGTTCAATGGATTCACCACATGATCAGTTCACTTGTTGCCTACGCTATGATTTTGGTTCTACCACGAAGTACTTTGAAGACGGCTCTTCCCGTCTTCGCCGTCGCGTACATTACTTTGGGTCACCTTCACCGTCAATACATCAATTATCTTGGATGGGATTTGGATTTTACCGGTAGTCAGATGGTTCTCACCCAAAAGCTTTACATGATCGCATTCAACTTGTATGATGGGGAACTCTTGGCCAATGGAAAAGAAGATCGCGCCGCCAAAAAGCTTGCAAAGTTTTCGTTGAAGGAAATCCCTGGACTCCTTGAATTCCTCGGATACACCTTTTGCTTTTCTACAATCCTTGCTGGTCCTGCTTCTGAGTACATTACTTACGCTCGTGCTTGCGACGGCAGCGCTTTCAAGACTCCTTCTGGCAAACCTTGCAAACCTCCCAGCAACCTCATCCCCACTCTTAAGCCTCTATGCATCAGTCTTTTCTGCCTTGGTGTCCACCTCACACTCAGTCCCATGTTCCCTCTTTTGAATGAAACTCATCCCCAAACCGGTACACCTTTCATCTTGCAAGAGGATTTCTTGGCCCGGCCTTGGTACCTCCGTTTTTTTCACTCTTGGATGGGTCTATTCGCTCTCAGAGAAAAGTACTACTTTGGATGGAAGAATGCTGAAGGTGCCGCCAACGTCTGGTATGCTGGTTTCGACGGATTTGACGAGGACGGAAACTCTCTCGGCTGGGAATCTTCGAACAATATCAACGTTTTTGGTTTCGAACTGGCGCAAGATCTTCAAAGTGCTACAAAGAACTGGAATATCAAAACTTCTTTCTGGTTGACCCGTTACGTCTACATGCGTACCAACGGAAACCTTTTGGCCGTGTATGCTTTGAGTGCATTCTGGCATGGGTTCTACCCGGGATACTACATGTTTTTCTTGTCTGTCCCACTTCCGACCATCTGCGATCGCATGGCAAAGAAAAAGATCGGTCCTTACTTTTCCAAGTCCAAGTATACGCTATATGGAGTTCTATCTTTCTTGGCCACTTCCATCACCATGAACTACATGATCTTGCCCTTTGTTATGCTTGCATACAGCTGGTCCTGGGATGCTTACCAGACCAACTACTTCTTTGGTCATATTGGTTGCATCATTTACTACATCATTCTGACCATGCTTCCAAAGCCAAAGGTCGCTGATGACAAGAAGAAGGTCGCTTAAAAGAGGCGCAAGATCCAAATACATCAAATGCATAAATGGCCATTGTAGTAGAAGGTTAAGATTCATATGGTCAATGCTACTTCGCATGACACTTCTATTCCCAGGACACTCGTACTGTAAGAAAAAGGTATCTTGTCGTGATTGGGAGTCAGTGTAGTCAACTCGTGCATAGTAAAAGAGGTAGACAGGTAACCTGCCCGCTCGCGCGGTCGCAGCCACAAAATGTCTCTTCGATCTTCTGCGTAGTCATAATTTCCTTTTGGAGAGGGTGGACAACAAGCATCGAGGAGGGCCCCACCATCCTATGGTCGAGGGCAAGTGTTTTAGCACAACCTTCTTGGGGAAATTCCCCGGTCGCAAGGGCAGAGAGTGTCGGCCTGGAAACGGGTACCCGCATGCGAGCCGCACTTGCGACGACGGCCTCGGCAAGAGCATTTTGTGCAGGCTTCATGTGGCGGTCATAGCAAAGTTATGCTTGATTACTCAACGGGGATTATGTCCAGCCTACTCCTGAGGAAACAACATTTGTGTGTATGATCCTGCCTGGTGGTGGGTCAAGGCTTCAAACCTTGGGACGCCTAGCGGCGTAGTTGTTCGATTCAACCTTACGCACGGCGGTGGTTGCACAATAACCACCTCTTCGCGAAATTTCTTTGTTGAATTTCTTTGTTGAATTTCTTTGTTGTGTGCATGATCCTGCCTGGTGGTGGGTCAAGGCTTCAAACCTTGGGACGCCTAGCGGCGTAGTTGTTCGATTCAACCTTGCGCACGTTGGCGGTAGATTCCGTCTCTTGCTTTCCAAACTTCCAACAGAAACTCTGACAAACTGTTTTGCTGTGTGTATGATCCTGCCTGGTGGTGGGTCAAGGCTTCAAACCTTGGGACGCCTAGCGGCGTAGTTGTTCGATTCAACCTTACGCACGTGGGTGGTTGTACAGTATCCACCTCTTTCCTCCAGAAAACTTGTTTTGTTTAATTCTTTTTTGTGTGCATGATCCTGCCTGGTGGTGGGTCAAGGCTTCAAACCTTGGGACGCCTAGCGGCGTAGTTGTTCGATTCAACCTTGCGCACGAAGTTCCATGTTATTCATTGTTTACAACTCACCCTAGCTGTAGCTTAATGATCAACTAGCATCTAGTATCTTCACATTGCCTATCATACTAGTCTTAGATGCAGTAAGTGTTGATTTAAAAGCGCCAAACCATGTTCTTGACATTCTGAGGCCCGATAGTTGGGAAGTCATGAGGCATGGGTTGTATTCTCTCAAGTTTCGCAGAACAACCTGCTTGTTCGAAGCCTCTTTCACAAGATCGTGCGAACTTGATAGGTGTGAGACTAGCACTATTTGTAGTCGTCCAAAGTAGGCCACCCTTCTTCACGAGTGGTGCAGCTAGCGCCACCAGTTCATGCATGTCATTCCTTACACTCCAGCGTTTCTTCTTCTTTCCGACACTGGAACTGGGAGGATCCAAAATGACGATATCAAACTTTTCTCCTCTTTTCGCTAGTTTTGCCAACCAATCAAAACCTTTGTTGTGCGAATGTAATAAGTGAGTGCAATCTTGTCAACAGCAAACAAATTCCAGCTACATCATCCGTCGGACTTACAGTCACCATAAATGCAATCATGTCGCTCATCAAACTCGATGCCGTTTGCTTCAAGCTAAGAAAGGAAAGTGTGAGAATCAATACTTCCGTGACGTAGAGTCTCTGTCTATCTTACCTGCGCAGGGACACGATCAAGCCACTTTTTGGACAAATCAAGACTGACAGTAGAAGCACCAGCTGTCGCAGCAGCAATACTGAACGCTCCACAGTGGGCAAAACAGTTCAATACATGAGTATCTTCGTTGCAGTTGCGTGTCAACCAAGCACGATGAGGGCGTTGGTCAAGGAAGATACCAGTCGATAGATCCTTATCCAGCGAAACATGGTATGTCACACCATTTTCTTTCACAGATACTATCTCAGGTGCAGGTTTTCCTTCCAGCAGTTTGGGTCTTACAAGAGTAGACGATCCCATTGCGCTACGATCCTGGTTTGATGGAATGTAGTAAACTCCAGCCGTTTTACCGTCGTGAATGGATGGCAAAGGACCTTTGTACTCCTTTTCGTCATGGGCAACAAGTAGCCATTCGTCATAGCGGTCGACCGTCCACCCTGGAAACCCGTCCGCTGCTCCATTGATTTCTCTATAGGCGTTTGTCAGTGGATTTTCGCGCAGCGATGTTCGTCCAAGGAATGATCCTTTCTTGAAGTCGTGGTTATTTAGTCGATCGGAGAGGATAGCGATGTCGTCAGGCATGGTCTCCGTCTCGACCATCACATCTTCATCGCTTATGAGACTCGATGCAGACAACGAAAAGCAATGGATCAGTCGCCTTGGGCTTCTCCTGTCAAATGGGTTTGCAGCTGGATCACCCCTGATCCCATCATTAAATTTGGATTGTGCGTGCTCAATAATATTGGCACAAGTGGACTTGTGCTCAGGGATCTCGAAGCGCACAGTTTGGCATGTATCACCCTCTCTTCCCTTTCGAACTTTGGATACCAATTGGATATCGATATCCTCGCCCGGTATGCTGGAGTCTGCCTTCGAGATTTGGCGAAAGTATCCACCATTTCCTACGACAGCAGCATACTCAGCCGTGTCGACGAAGACGTTGCCAACATTTGACTTGGGACAAAGCAGAACCACACCAGAGTCATCAACTTCTGTTGCTCCTGCAGCGGCAGTCCAGAACTTGCCTCCGCGGATTGGTTGGCCACTTTCAGCTTTCAATTCCTTCAGCCAGTTCACTACTGATGGTCGTGTGTATGACCCAAAAGTTGCTCTGTCCTTTCTCTTTGCTTTTCGCTTCTCCATGCGTTTAATGTTTTCTTGAGCGGCAGGGTCCAAATCTTCCATCCGAACAGTTTCTGTTTCAGGCTTGCTGGATGCAGTGTTCGTCGTTTCATTGATTGTGTTTTGCTGCTTTTCTGCTTCGTACTCTGCAATTTCTTCTGGGGACATCAATGCAAGCATTTCTGCTTCCGAAAAGGCGGGAATGAAATCTTCTGTTGGATCATAGTCTTCGTCTGTGATCCCCGCTTCTGCTCGTTCCTCGGGTGTCATGTTGGCAACATCATCCCAACCAGGAATGTCATATGGGACAAGATCAGTATCATCAAAGGCTGGACCAAATCCTGCAAAGATGGGTTCTCCTTGGGCTTCAAGCTGGGCTCTTTCTTTTGGTGACAGAAGTGCTAGAACATCGTCTTCGTCGAATTCCAAGAAATCATCCGAACCCTTTGAGTTTTTGATTTTAACTCGCTTGATATTGGAGGAATCGTTGTCGTCGGAGCTTTTGGTAGCCTTTGCTTCAACCTGCTGTTTTTTCTTCTTCCCAATATTCCCACCAAGGATCGACCAACCTGCTGGCTTATCAATAAGATAAGCAAAGGCGTCGCTTCCATTGCCATCTCCTACACGCAACTTTGCCAAAATGATAGGTTCCGCTTTGTCCATGGGTGCTTCACAGTGTTGATTCGCTGCTTGTGTCAGCCCCAATTGACGTGCAATAATGGCGGGAGAGTTTTCATCCAAAATCTCTCTTTCTTTCTCATCCAACTCTACCTCTTCATCGTCGCCTTCAGCAGATTTCTTGACGACCTTGCTATCTTTCTTGCCGATGTTCTTGCCTTCTCTCTGTAGTTGATCTTTTTGTGCACGATACATGTACTGCTGTTGAGGATTCTCGACACGCCTCCTTGTTCGCCTAACATTCTTGCCTTTGGATCCTTTGCTTCCTACAAGCGATTCTGGTCTATTCAAGAGTTTTTCTTGCATTTCCTTGATGGTAATTTTTGCCTTTTTATTGTCGAATAGTGCTTGAAGGGAAGTCGGTTGCCGTCCCTTATCGATTCCTGGAAGCTGAAATCCAAGAACCGTTGAAAGGAAAAGCGCTGCAACGAATGATTGATACATCTTTGTTCGGTGATAGGAATTGTCCCTTTTCATCTTTTAGGTAGAAACTGAAACTGAGGCAGCAATAATTCTCCTTCTTTCTGATTCCAAAGTGATGTGATTTCGATTGGTGATGTTGATGCGTCCTTTGCGCGTGACAGACGGTTTGGCATCGGGCGACAGACGGACCGAGGACACGTTCTAAAAAAATTTCGCGGGAAATATAAATGTCACTACTGCAACCGGGTCAGAAATGTAAGTGAGTGTTACTTCATAAAAGCCCTCCCATTCCATACAGTCTAACCACTCCGTTGCTACAGCAACTCTGCGTTTCTTACCACAAAATGATTCGGAAATCAATCAGCACCACGCTGAGATTAACTGCCGATATATGGTTGCGGGAAGGAGGTGTCCAGCAGCTCTATCCTGCTTCGGCTTTGCGCATAGTGGACCACCATTTGCATGCCAGTGGCATCATTGAACACTCCAAGGAAAGTTTAGATAGACTCTACGATCATGATTGGTTTTGTGTCAGCCAAGCCGTCACTTGCTTTGACGTGGAGGATTTGTTGGTCAAGTCATTGGATGACCAGGATTTCGCGTCACACTCGTTCATTTTTGTCATGGGCGTCGGGTCATCCTCAATCCAATTTGGCAATGTAATCACCCTCAACGACGAGGTTTTGGCCACCACCCGTCGGATTTTTTGTCGGAAGGAGCCTTCCGGAAAATCGGCGCCGTTCACAGACGAAGAGAAATCTCGATTTTTGGAATCCCAGCCACCAGAACTCTTGTATTCAATGCCCGAAGTCGAAAAGTTTGGTTCTTTCCTTCCCGGTTCCGAGGAAAACCTTACTCCCGTCTTAACGGTCAATGTCGGTCCGCAACATGTGAATATGGGGAATCATGCAGACCACGCTTTCTTGGTGGAAACTGCAATCCATGCCATGTCCCTGGCCGACAAGGACATATCCTCAGTGGCGGTGAACTATGTATCTGAAGCCAAATTGGGCCATACACTGGAATGTCTCTTTCATTCTGATACATTATATATCACTCGAACATTGTCCACAGGGAGAAAGGTATTGGTTATGGTAGCAAGAAGTGCGAGACTTCACGCTGAATGAAGCACCAATATCATGACCATGGGAAAATCAGGGGATTTATATACTGTGAATTGTGTATACGGAATTCAATTTCGAAATTTCAAGGTGATGGTGGATGTTGTGAAGGAATGATATGTGACAAAGAATTTAGATGTGTCAAGGCGGTTGTGTGTGTTATTTGTTGAGTTGAATGCGAGATGATTCGGTTTGAAGTCGATTAGCTATTGGTAAATTGTTATGGTCCTTCATAGTGCTGGGATCATCATCGATATTATCAGCTCTTGGGTGCAATTTTGATGCAAGGCAAGTCGGCCATCAAGTGAACAGTACGATCTTGTTTTCGATTCTCTTGATATGAGAAGGAACCTACGCCCATGGATGAAGTGAAGGCTTTCCGCTGCATCGCTCGAGAAACGGTGTAGTTTGCAAGTCCTTCCCACTAAATTTGTGTTCTTGACCTGATCCAGAATGAAACAGTGCCTTCAAACTTGTTGGAGGATCTAGACCCCAGAAAATCGGTTGTCCTCGTTTCTTCATTCCATCACTCGTCGTAGTTGATTCGGTAGACGAAACAACAGCCTTCACAGTCCACCAACAAGCTCCCCGTGGCTTGCTTGACTGGCAAGAAGACTTCTTCACCACACCGACAATCGTAGACTAACATGGTTTCATTGGTCTCTTCATCCAATGCTTCTTCCACCTCGTCCATGGCGATATCAATGGCACCATGTGTCCGACTGCGCTCTTGCAATTCCTCTTGCTGCAAATTGTCATCGTATTCTTGTCGCTTTTCGGCAGTCCCCAATGTTTCCCATGCCAGTTGAATCCGTTTAAAATCCAAATTCGCTGTGGTTTGGCGCAACGAATTCTGCTTGTCAGGATGGGATTGACGGGCCAGTTTGTGGAAGGCTGCCTTGATTTCACTATGTGACGCTTCCTGGAGGACTCCCAAGACATCATAGAGGGTTTCAGCTACCCCCATGACGACGAAAGGAACCAACTCTGGTTATGGACGCTCTGAGAAAGCACAAAGATGAGTTTATTTTGGTGGGAGTATTGTAGATGACTGGTTCGACCAAAAGTTCCGGCGCCCATAACCCATTGTTTCCAACGAAATCGAAAACCTTCGACCGCTGATTGATTGGTACGAGTAAGATCTGAGAGCCTGAGTCACATCCACCAACAGCAATCTCACAAGGGTCCTTCTTTTCCATATACGGTATCACTTGAAACTAAACCATGGCCCAACGATTGAGAGAGGCCTTTAAGAAAGTAGCCAAACAGGTCAACAGTGCCGGAGGAGGTGGCAGTGGCGGCGGTGGTGGTGGCGGCGGCGGAGGTCGAGCAGCTGCTGCAGCGGCCACTAGTGTCACGGCTTTGGCAGTGGCCGGTGGTCTAGGATATGGTGCCTATAACTCTCTTTTCACCGTCCCAGGAGGTCACCGAGCCATTATTTACAACCGCATCAGTGGTATGAAGGATACAGTTTACGGCGAAGGTTTGAATTTCAATATTCCGTGGTTCGAGCGCCCCACTGTGTTTGATATCCGAACTCGTCCCGTCAATCTGCAAACGTTGACGGGATCCAAGGATTTGCAAATGGTTACCATTGCCATTCGTGTCTTGCACAAGCCTGATCCCAACAAGCTGGTGGAGATGTACAGAAATCTAGGACGGAACTATGATGAGCGAATTCTTCCCAGTATCATGAACGAATGTGCCAAGGCTATCGTCGCTCGATACAATGCCAATGAACTTCTTACTAAGCGTGACATGGTATCGAAAGAAATCTCGCATGACTTGAGACTACGTGCTGGATATTTCAATGTCCTTTTGGAGGATGTTGCCATTACACACCTGAGTTTCTCTCCTGAATATGCTCGTGCTGTTGAGCGAAAGCAAGTTGGTAAGTAGTTTCATTTCTTGTCTGACGAATGTGTATGACAATCACAACAACAGCAGCTACAACAATCGGGTACTAATAATACTCTCTTTTTCTTTCCTTCCTTCCACAGCTCAACAAGATGCAGAGAGAGCCAAGTACGTTGTTATTGGAGCTATACAAGAGAAGCAGACCATTATCACCAAGGCAAAGGGAGAAGCCGAATCTGCTTCATTGATTGGTCACGCCGTCAAGAAGAACCCTGGTTTCATGAAGCTGAGAAGAATCGATGCTGCTCGTGACATTGCCGATATTGTAGCCAAGTCTGGAAATAAGGTTTACTTGAATGCTGATTCCTTGTTGCTCAACTTGTTGGGAGATTCCGACGATAAGTTTGAAAAGAGCTTGAGCGAAAAAGGTCGATTCTTTGGATAAACTATAAATTATAGACAGGCAATGTTTCTAGAAAGCAATGAAAAGCACTCCACTTTTTGAAATTTTCGTTTGCTTCTGCTTTGTTTATGGGCTTTTGATTAAAATTGGGATTGTTCTATTAATAGTATCCAGTTTATTCAATATTTTAACTTGGAAAGGTACTTACAAGTCCCTAGGACTATTGTCGTAGCCAATTTATGATATATTTGAGTAATTTAGATATGTCTACCGGTGCACTCTCATTTCCTACGACACCTTCTTGGAAGGGTCCACATCTGGCCGCTTCTTTTGCGCATACGTCAACAAACGCTTGACCGAAGTGAGGTACTTTCGTTGCAACTCACTATTCATGACGTGGGCCACATTGGCAGCTCCAATCTTCTCTCGGCCACTACGAGCGTGGATACCCACCATTGTCACTCCAATCGGCCAAGCAGCTCTTCCAATACTGACGTCAATGTAGGCATCGTTGGCCCTGACAAACTCTCCTTCTTTCGCAAACTGAACAATCTTCATCAAGTGTCCCTGAATTCCTTCTCCAAGTTTGCGAGATTTGCAAAGTTTAAAGAGCGGACGAATGTAATCCTTACACTGTTTGAGTGTTCTAGACTCGTTCCGCCCAGCGAGACTCCGTGCCACAATGTCAGATCGCTCTGTCAAGTCCTGTTCCCACTGTTTCAACAAGGTCTTGAAAAACTTGTAAATCACTTTCGGGGGATCATCTTGGTCGTCGTTGTCGGCAGCAGCTTCTTTCACTTTTGTTTCCTTCCTTTCCTCCTCCAGTTTACGTTTCTTGTTTTGGTGCTGCTGTTGCTGCTGCTGTTGCTGCTGCCCTTGATCCTCCTTGCGACCCAAAAACGTGTTGCGAATTCCATGACCCTTGCCCAATCGGAATTCATCCATTTCAGATTGTCCAGCAAGGGATTTCTTTTGCTGTTCCAAGGCATCCTTCAACCGTTGGAATCGTTGATTGTGACTTTCTCCAAAGAATTGAATGGGCAAACCAAACTCTCGGAGCTGTTTGGTAATGGAACTAGGTGAAAACTGATCTTCCTCACTGACCTGACTGGACTCTACAGTACCGCTTTTCTTTTTGGATGATTCCTTTTTGCCGCCTTCTGCATCATCATCCTTGGAATTATCGCCCTTGTCCTTGCCCGAATCGGACAACGAGTCAGCGTTTTCCTTTTCTTCATGCTGTGCTTGGGATCGTTTCAAGTTGGCTGCTTGGTCCGCGTCTTC